ATGAGAATGAAGGCACGAGCTACCAGAACCTATAGGATGCAGCTTAAGCCGTGTTAAGGGGAAAATTTATAGCTCTGCAAGCATTTCTCAGGAAGTCAGAAAGGGCCCACATAAAGAACTTCACTTCACAACTCAAGAGCTTAGAAAAGGACCAACAAAAGAAGCCCAAACAAGGCAGAAGGAAGGAGATCAATGACATGGAAACAAAAAAAAAAAATCCAAAAGATCAATGAAAACAAGAGCTGGTACTTCAAGAAAATAAATAAGATAGACAAACTACTCGCAAGACTCACAAAGAGAGAGAGAGAACCCTAATAAACCGAATCAGAAATGAAAAGGGGGATATCACAACAGAAACCAAAGAAATTCAAAAGATCATCAGAGACTACTTTGAAAGTCTGTATGCCACGAAACAAGAAAAACTAGAAGAAATGGATAAACTCCTGAATTCCTATAATCTCCCAAGGCTGAATCAAGTACTTTTAGAATACCTGAATATCCCCATTAACATCAAGGAAATTGAAACTGTAATCAAAAGTCTTTCCAAAAACAAAAACCCAGGTCCAGATGGATTCACTAGCGAATTTTTCCAAACATTTAAAGAGGACCTACTGCCAGTCCTCCTCAAGCTTTTCCAGGAAATTGAAGAACAGTAACTCTCCCAAACATTTTCTATGAAGCCCATATCTCTCTAATACTAAAAGGAAACAAAGACACCACAAGAAAACTACAGGCAGATATCACTGATGAACATGGATGCGAAGATTCTCAACAAAATACTAGCAAACAGAATTTAACAATTCATCAAAAAGATCATACACTATGACCAGTGGGATTCATCCCGGGGATGCAAGGATGGTTTAACATTCAGAAATCAATCAACATAATCTGTCATATCAACAAAAGAAAAGATAAAACATAATACATCATATCAATAAAAGAAAAGATAAAAATCATATGATCATATCAATAGGTGCAGAGAAAGCATTTGACAAGATCTAGCAGCTGTTCCTGATGAAAATTCTCGCCAAAATGGATATAGAGGGGACATTCCTCAATATAGTTAAAGCCATCTACCCACATGCCTTTGGCAAAAATTATCCTCAATGGGGAAAAACTGAGAGCCTTCCCTCTAATATAATGGATAATACAAGGATGCCCACTCTCTTCACTGCTCTTCAATACAAAATATTCAGCATTTCCCAATTTATTTTTAATATTTTAAAAATTTTATTTATATAAAGTTCACAATAATTTCTTGCATTTGATATTTAAATACCAATCCCACCATTATTACACCTTCCCACCACCATTATTTTGACTAAAAAGGATCTAAAAAGTCTTCTATAAAGGAAAGTATATGAAAATTGTGAAAATTGTTATATTTCACTTTGGTGCCATTAAGCCTCTGTATAAGAGATCACTAATATGTTGTTACAGGTTGAACTTTATATATATATGTATACATATATATATATATACATATATTAGGTATATGGGCTGGAGTGATAGCACAGCGGTAGGGCATTTGCCTTGTGCGCAGTGAGCTTGGCTGAGCCAGGTTCGATTCCTCCGCCTCTCTCAGAGAGTCTGGCAAGCTACTGAGAGTATTCAGTATGCCAAACACAGTAACAGGAAGTCTCACAATGGAGACATTACTGGGCCCGCTCGAGCAAATCGATGAACAACGGGAGGACATTAGGTATATATGTACATATATATGTATGTATATATGTATATCACTGTATCACTGTCATCCTGTTGTTCATTGATTTACTCAAGCATGCACCAGTAATGTCTCTATTCATCCCAGTCCTGAGATTTTAGCAGCCTCTCCTTACTCATATTTCCCAATGCTGCCATATTGGAGGCTCTTTCATGATCAAGGGAATGAGAGCTGTTATTACTGTTTTTGGCATATCAAATACACCACAGGTAGTTGCCAGGCTCTGCCTTGTAGGCGGGATACTCTTAGTAGCTTGCCGGGCTCTCCTGGATATATATATATATATATATATATATGTATATATATATATATACACACACATATATATATACACACACACATATATATATACACACACACATATATACACACACACATATATATATTTCCCTCTATGTTTTGTTACCTACTGTCTGAACCCCATCAAATATGGTGTGGTAATTATGGAAAATGGGTGGGGAGTGTCTTATAGTGTGTCCAAGAATATATTTACTCATATGTGACTTGGCTCGAGTGTGTGGAAAGTAGCCTGGAGTGTGGTGGTGGTTGGGTAGTGGAGGTCAGCTGCTGGAGCTGGGTCCCTTGGGGTGAGGAGGGCTCTCACCCCCCCTTCTGGGTGATATATGTATATATATGTGTATATATACATATATACATATATGTGTGTGTAATTATCCATATATCCATATATATGTATATATACATGTACATGTATATATTTGATATATGTATATGTGTGTATATATGTATATATATCAAGATCAGTTGCCTCCTCCTTTACAGCTCATCCAATAGGTGTGCTACTCCTGGTACATCAGTGATCATAGAGTATGTCACTACAGGAATTCTAAAATTTTAAATAGGATGCTAGAGTTGGAGTTAAATTTTTAACTGGATGGTGATTTGGGGGTCTTGTGGCATCTCTGCAGCATATTGCTCTCTTCCAAGATTTATTTGTCACTCTCTGGATCTCATAGGGTCTTTAATGAGCTTATAAGGTGTCAAGAGGCGATTTGTGAGCATGACTGCCAGGGACCCAGAAGCACAGGAAAGCGGCGGTAGGGCACTGATTTCCGACTCTGGAGCTTGGAGGTTTCAGTCATAAAACCTGTATACCAGGGTTTTCCAGTGGAATCATTCTCTTACGACGATTGGCCCTGAGCATGGCAATGGTTGGGTTCTGGAGGTTTGTGACTGCTGGAGTTCTGTTGGGGCCACCTGCTTAATTTAGAGTTCATTATGAACAGTTCTTGTTTTCCTTCTACAATGACTTTAGGTTCTTCGCAAATGTAACATTCATTTTCTGTTCAGAATTCCTGAAATCAAACAAGAAAGTTATTCATTTCAGCAGTATACTAAGATCTTGTGTCTTATTATAGATTACATGTTAGAAGAAAAAGAATTAGGTTATTCAAATAAAATGAACAGGCAGTTAACTTGTCACATAAAATTTATAGTTTAACCAAACTATGCATCTCCTCTTCAGGGGTACACATAAGTTAAGCTTCCAAAATATAGACAATATTATCCTGCACTCCTTCCTTTAATTCCTCAGTCCTAACAAATTCAATCCCACTGATATTTTCATCTGAATTCTGGACCCATTTTTAGCGTTTTCAGTAATACACAGATTTATTTTCTAAAAGAAAGGCAACTCCTTTAGCACATCTAGTTCTGGAGAGCTCTAATTCTGAGTGTATCTCACATAGAGCCAAAGTTTCAGAGAGCTATCAGTTCACACAAGAAAGAAGAAAACACCTTAAATTTTAGAGAGAACTAGAAATTAGTGCATTGAGAGCTTATAATTTAGGAATTACTACTTAGCATGGAAACATTTTCCCAATTAAAGCTACTTTTCTGAAAACTTTTAAAAGTCAAACATCATATTGAAATCATCAATCACAAATTATGGCAGAAACTAGTGTAAATGAAGACTGCATGAAACAGAGAGGAAAAAACAAAGAGACAGAGACAGTGGCAGAGACAGAGACAGAGAGAAAGGAAGAGAGTGTGGAGGAGAGAGGGAGAGGAAAAGGAGATGGAAATAAAAAAATTAAAATCTCTGTTTTCAACTTCTTCAACTTCTTTCTGCATAATTCAGAAGTTTACTTTGGGTCAAGGTTTAGTTTAGGGACCTTGGGCTCATTCTGATATGTAGAGGGGAAGTATTTTTTTTTAACATCAAAACTACTAGAATTAACATTCTCTAAATATGGCACCCAAACTATAATAAACTTATAAATATGTCTGTAAGGAGTCAGGTTCGAAGCTGCAGAATCTGGGGTTATTGTTGGAGGGATGCTCAGCCTAGCTGTAAAATTGGAGTTTGACATTGTAAGTCTAAAACTTTGTTGTCAACAACTTTATAAATCATAAAGTTTATGAATAAATAGTAAATAAAATAAATAAGAAATAAAGACCTCCAGTCATGCTGGTGGGATTGTATTTTAAATATTGATTTAGAGATGTCTCAAAAAATTATGGGCACAACTTTCATATAGCCTGCAATTCCACTTTAACAGAAGCCCATAAAATATGAATCCAAAAGGCCATATGCACGTATACACACTTATGTTCATTGAGAACTATTTATAATAAACAAGTTCTGAAAATCACAGAAACACATCAGTGGACTAAGAAAGTATGGAATATATATATTGTAGAATACTACTCAGCTATGAGAAAAGATGAAACATTAAGGTTGCTGCAACTTGGATGGTACTGGAGAAAGTCATACTGAATCAGCAAAACAGAACCAAGTGAACTCATTTGTATGCAGTGTAAAGAAACATAGCAAGGAATTGTCCAATCCCCAATGGAAAAAACTTGAGATATGATCAATAAAACTGTGAACTAAGGATGTGAAATTGGGGGAGGAGAGAAGGGAACTTGGAATAATGGGGGAAGTATCCTGACACTCTATAGTGTAGAAGCACTACAAGTATTGTAAAATAATGTAAAACCAAAAAATGGCTATTTATTGACTAATAAATAAATGTTAACAATATCATTACATTTGCATGTGGCTACTAACATGTAAGTATAGTCTTCCAATGTAATTTTTTGCTCCAGAGCTTTTATTTATGAAAAGGAAGCATTTTATGAAGGAGCAAAAATACTTTATTTATACTCCCTATTTGATAAAAGAATGTTAGATAGGTATATAATCATAAAAATAAAATAAAAATATCAAAATGTCTTTTGTGACCTAAATAAAAATGTGTTACTTTATATATCTAATATAGTAAATATGTATTACTTTGATTTATTTTAGGTGATTTATATCATAACAATTGATGAAAAACCATATACCTTGCATCTCAAAAAAAAGTAAGATATATATGGTATATGTCAAATGTCAGATGTGTAATTAGCATTAAATGTAGACAAACGAGTGGCATGCTCTTTGATACATTATTAAAATGTATAGTTTTTCTTAACTACATTGGGTATATTTTAATTATAAAACACAATCAATTATATACACATTAATAATCTCATGCATCATTGAACTGTAGCACTGTCCTCCTGTTGTTCATCGATTTGCTCAAGCGGGCCCAGTAACGTCTCCATTTTGAGACTTGTTATTACTGTGTTTGGTATATTGAATATGTCATGGGTAGCTTGCCAGGCTTTGCGGTGCAGGCAGAATACTCTCGGTGTCTTGCCGGGCTCTCCGAGAGGGGCGGAGGAATTGAACCTGGCTCGGCCAGGCCGGCCGTGTGCAAGGCAAATGCCCTACTGCTGTGCTATTGCTCCAGCCCTATGCCTCATTGAAATAAGCATTTAATTATGTAATAAGACCCTTATACCATTTTATTAACAATCCATATTTCCACCCACCATTTCAGAGAATAATCAAATTTCTTTTTGTAATTTACATGTTTTCAACATTTCATCTAAATGTAATAAAATACTTATTCACTTTATCCACCTTTGAAAATACTTAACAGCCTTTTGTCTGCCTGCATCTTTGTAGTTGAACAATGCTACAAAAAGTTATTCTCACTTAAGAATTAAAATCTCACACAATTCCTTATCATTAAACTCATATTAACCTTTTGTGTTTCAGTAACCACTAAAATGTTTTTATGTTGACAGGAGAAATAAGAGGTTAAGACATTTGATTTGCTTGCATTGGGTTCAAATCCCCGCACCAACTGTTGTCTCCTAAAACATCACCAGGAGTTATATCTGAGAGCAGCCAGGAGTTAAGTCTGAGCAATTCAGATGTGGACCCCAAACCTATAGATAGATAGACAGACAGACAGATAGATGGATAGACAGATGGATACATACGTATATACATACATAGATGCATGGATAGATACATAGATAGATATCAAATATAATAAAACTGATTTCATACTTGTGTTCATTCTTTTAACAAATAGTAAAATTATTGCATAATGTATCAATGTTTAGTCCATAACATCATTTCATGTGCTCTCCAGAAGCCCATAAACTCCTGGTTTAATGTTTAGAATTGCTTTCCCATGCTTCAACAGCTTTCTGTTTACATTTCTGATTTGCCCTCTCCCCAGTCTTGATGTGAATCTTGATTTTTTAAAATTTTTGCTTTACAATCTGTGTATTTTATCATGTAATTTTAAGTAATACTTGTAGAGGGAGCTCTTGTATTTTAAAACTTTTTCAATGACCTGCCACAGGAACTCCAAGCAATAGAAAAATCCATCCACTAACCCTACTACTGACCCCGCATGAATAGGGTTACCTTGAATTCAAACAGGAAGTTCCAAGTTCCAAGTAATTTACCATTTCCCTAGAAATCAGTGTAGTAAATGGAAATTCTGTTGTTAAGGTAACAAAAGTTTGTCATCTTCACGTTCCTCTAAAGTCCTATTATTCTTCTTTTGAGGATAACTTTATTGTCCCAACCTCTTTTCTACAGAATTGTCTATAACTTTTAGTGATTTTTTTGCTTGGCAAATTATTTAATAAGGTCATTTAGATCTTTGAATTTACTCAATTAAATATTTTCTTAAAAGAATACATAAATCACTTCCAAATTTATATTTCTACTTGATTCTTCTCTAAAAGACACCACACCAGTTTATCTTTATTTACTGATAACCAAGTATTTATTAAAATTATTATATTCTCACACTTAACACGTCCAAAATGTGCTTCTGATATTCTTATCCTTTCCACAATCATCTCAGTAAATGACAACAGTCTTCTGCCTGTTTTCACAGAACAGTTATTTAGTATTCATTGTTTTTTGGTAGTTGGGACACATCTAGTGGTACTGAAGGTTTACTTTTACAGTCAGGTATCACTCCTGGTGATGCTCTCAGGATTCTATGTAGTGCTGGAAATTGAAAATGCTTGTCATATGCGAGGCAAGCACCTTAGCTGCTGTACTGTTTTACCAGCCCCAGAAATCATTTTTTTTTGGGGATCACACCTGGTGATGCACAGGTGTTACTCCTGGTTCTGCACTCAGGAGTTGCTCCTGGCGGTGCCCAGGGGACCATATGGGATGCTGGGAATTGAACCCAGGTCGGCCGTGTGCAAGGCAATCGCCTTACCCGCTGTGCTATCTCTCCAGTCCCCAGAAGTCATTCTTGATGCATTTTTCTTTTGTTTCAACACACACACACACACGCACACACACACACACACACACACACTGTCACTGTCACTGTCCTCCCATTGTTCATTGATTTGGTTGAGCGGGCCCAGTAACATCTCCATTGTGACAATTGTTACTGTGTTTGGCATATTGAATAAGTCACCGGCAGCTTGCTAGGCTTTGCCGTGAGGGCGATATATCCTCACACACACACTGTCTGTCCACTGTCCTCCTGTTGTTCATCGATTTGCTCGAGCGGTCCCAGTAACATCTCCATTGTGAGACTTCTTGTTACTGTGTTTGACATATTGAATACTCTCGTAGCTTGCCAGGCTCTCCGAGAGGGGCGGAGGAATCGAACCTGGCTCAGCCAGACTGGCTGCGCGCAAGGCAAATGCCCTACTTCTGTGCTATCACTCCAGTCACACACACACACAAGCATTTGAATTCCTTGTGTGCTGCTTCCGAAGTACACTGGAAGACCAGAATGCTAGTACAGTGGGTAGGATGGTTGCCTTGCACATGCCAACCAGGTTCCATCCCCAGCATCCCATATGGTCCCTGAGCACTGCTAGGAGTAATTCTTGAGTGCAGAGCTAGGAGCAATCCTAGAGCTTTTTCGGGAGTGACTCAAAATGCCCAAAATAAAATTAAATACAATTTAAAAAAATGCATTGGAATTTCTATGTCCTATTTCAACCATATCTTCCCTGATAATTATGACTGTGATAACTGTGAAAATCATATATTCTCTGATATCTAGACACTCAGGATATTTTTACTTCACAGATAATTCTCTATATTCATACTTTAATTTTTAAAAAATGTTGGCTGGTTCTGTTATTTATCTTCTCAGAATTTTCTAATGGCTTTGTATCTCTGCAATAGTTCTTCTTACTACTTTTTTTAATTTTAAATCCATATACATCTATCCAGACAGATTTCTTGTAGCAATAATCTATATAGGCAAACATATTTCTGCTCAGGGTCTCTGCTTTTTTTTCTACTCCTACTAATATTTCTGTTCAAATTTAAGTGTCTTGTTTTCAATTCTTATATCATCTGTTCAACGATCTATTCTGTACCATCATATCTATGTTACTACTAACCTCCCGAACCTAGGCCTTATTATCATCTAACATGCCAGCAGTATGTGTGATTAACTCTGGTGAAGATCAGAATTGCAGTGCCTAGAAGAATTGTAATGGTAAGAATTCACAAAAATCTTTTGAACAAAATTTTTGGCAAACACAGACATTTGAGTATTCACCATGTATTTGTGGGTTGATAAAAATCTAAACATTGGTATCAAGTCTATTAATTTAGATTATGTTCTATTAAAATCACTCTCATTAAATCATCTTATTTAACACATTTTGTAAAGTTAACACTCATTTTATTATTTTAAAGTCTATATCATACTAAATTATTTTAATTGAAAACAAAAACAAATTCATAATTTGGCTATCTTTTAATTTTTACTATTTTTAGTGCATTCTTATCCAATAACTTTTTGGTGTATACGTATAATGAAACTGGATATTTGCATTCTGAATCGAGATATTTTAAGGTAAGAGTGAAACATCTTAGGTATTTTCACTATTTAAATGTTTCTTTATTGATATGATTACAGCATTACCATCGGAATATGTTTGCTACATATTCAAAACACTGTCACTGTCCTCCCGTTGTTCATCGAGCTGCTCGAGCGGGCCCAGTAACGTCTCCACTGGAGACTTTGTTGTTACTGTGTTTGGCATATTGAATACATCACGGGTAGCTTGCCAGGCTCTGCAGATATTCAAAGTTTAATTAAAAGGGCCCTCCCGTTGATCGTTGATTTGCTCGAGCGGGCCCAGTAACGTCTCCATTGGAGACTTTGTTGTTACTGTGTTTGGCATATCGAATACTCTTGGTAGCTTGCCGGGCTCTCCGAGAGGGGCGGAGGAATCGAACTCGGGTCGGCCATGTTGGCCGCGTGTAAGGCGAACGCCCTACCCGCTGTGCTATCGCTCCAATATTTTATTCTTTTCAACTCTAATATGATATGTGGTAGAATGTTATATCAGCATATAATATATGGAAAGGCCAGACTGAGAAAACTCTCACAGGCACCTATTTTCCCTGAAACACTAAAATATGCACTAATAAATATTTATGGCACAGGGTCTCATTATTTTTTAACACCTTTAATATTGAATCTAGATTGTTTGAAAACATCATTTAAAATTAATTTGTTTATATTTCTATAGACACATTGCACTTACCAAGGCTATATTGCAGATTTCCCAAATTCAGTTGCAACAATCAACATCTGTTCTGGACTCAGGTAATATATGAAATTCCAGATAATATTTATAAGGGAAGACTTGGGATATAACTATCAGTGGAATTTAGGGATGAACAGATACAAATCTAGTAATGTTCAATAGAAATCTAAATCTAAAAATTTTCTTTAAGAAATTCTTTTTTTAGTTTTTTTAAAGAAATTCTTAATTTTTCAATATTTATATGAGTAGCTAAACCTAGAATGTCTATTCAATGGAAATTAGGAAATCTTTGTTGACATGTTATTTTATAAAATAAATGCAGACAGGATGTTTCAGTAAAGGAAAAATTAGAAAATCTTCTCAAATATTATTTTATTGTCTTTAAATTATCACAAATGCTATGAGAATTAAATTTATTAGACATTTAAAGACAATAGAATGATATTGCATGATATTGCATGCTCTCACTTCAATTGTACTCAGTATCATTTATACAGCAACTATAGAAAGTATTCCTATAGTGGCAAAGGAGGGGAAATTTATTTCCATCAAAGATGCTGAAAGGAATAAATTGCTAACTTTACTGAGGAAGATGCATCCAGAACTGAAAAACAAACTAGCTCAGCTTTATTTTGGTTTTGTTTATAGAATCTACTCAAAATGGAATTTCTGAAGTATAATTAATAGCATCCTCTTTAGATATTTGGAGCGATAGCACAGCGGGTAGGGCATTCGCCTTACAAGCGTCCAACATGGCCGACCCGAGTTCGATTCCTCTGCCCCTCTCGGAGAGCCCGGCAAGCTACCGAGAGTATTCGATATGCCAGACACAGTAACAACAAAGTCTCCAATGGAGACGTTACTGGGCCCGCTCGAGCAAATCGACGATCAACGGGAGGGCCTTTACCTTTACCTTAGATATTTATTTATACTATACACCTGCTTTCCCTTAGTCTAACTTCTCTGACAGAATCCTTGTTCTTAACAAATACTTTAGTCCCCAGTACAAATGAGGTCTCTTAATGAATAAATGTGCAATAAATTTGAGTACTGTACAGGAATCAAAACTATTATGTTTAGTTCTTGAAAATGTGGGAAAAACCAAGGCATATGCAGTGATTATTAATAATTAACAAGAAAAATAGAAACATAAAGTGTGTAAAATATCTGTTTGTGTTATTTTATGATTTTCCACATTTGTTTGTAAGCCTACTTGCAGGATTTATATAGTTTTCCTTTTAAACACTAGGGGACTCATTCAATTAGAAAATATCAGTTATGGAATTGAACCACTGGAATCTTCGGCAAGATTTGAGCATATAATTTATCAAGTGAAAAGTGACAATGCAGATAATTCAATATTAGCAGGAAATTACAGCAATATCTGGCATAAAAATCAGTCCTCTGAAGTTTTTTTAAGTTCACAGGTAATTGTGAAAATTCTTATATTATGACACAAAACATTTCTTCTAAAGAATTATTTTAGTACTTAAAACAAATTACTTAGCTATTGCATAGAAATTTTAAACTGGATGTTTTCTTTTATTTATTAAAGTTTATATAAAATATGTTTAAATCACTCTCCTCCTGTTGTTCATCGATTTGCTCGAGCGGGCCCAGTAACGTCTCCATTGGAGACTTTGTTGTTACTATGTTTGGCATGTTGAATACATCACGGGTAGCTTTCCAGGCTCTGCCGTGTGGGCGAGATACTCTTGGTAGCTTGCCGGGCTCTCCGAGAGGGACAGAGGAATCGAACTCGGGTTGGCCATGTTGCAAGGCAAACGCCCTACCACTGTGCTATCGCTCCAGCCCATGTTTAAATAGTGTATTTAAAACTTATTCTATGATGTATTTACTTATCAAGCAAAAGCATATGAATGAAATTGTAACAGGCATTATAGAACAAATGTTAGTTATAATTTCACTGATGTAATTACTTTGAATATTTTTATTGGCTGGAGCAATAGCACAGAGGGTAGGGCATTTGCCTTGCATGAAGCCAACATGGCCAACCCGAGTTCGATTCCTCCGCCCCTCTCGAAGAGCCCAGCAAGCTACCGAGATTATCTTGCCCACATGGCAAAGTCTGGCAAGCTCCCTGTGACGTATTCAATATGTCAAACACACTAACAAGTCTCACAATGTTACTGGGCCCACTTGAGCAAATCGATGAACAACAGGAGGACCGTGACTGTGAATATTTTTATACTAACATACTGCTAGAATACATATTTTTAGAGATAATAATCTAGTGTATTCTTTAACTATTTGGACCTGTTTTTAAATAGGAGATGTAATTCTTGGATAAATTTATCTTCCATCATTTTCAACATTTCTATGATAAAGCATGATGAAGTTTGTTCATTACTTCTTACAAAATCTTCTTCTTGTCTTTGTCGTATAGAAGTTTTATTTATCTTTGCATAAATAATTTTATCCATTTATATATTATTGAAAGTGTAGATTAGTCATATTGATCAAATTTGGGAAATATTTGACCATTACTTCTTTGAATGTTCTAGGTTTCCTTTTCCATCTGCTCACTTTCTGTTATTTTATTTTCATGGCTGTTTACATATAAGACAGTAATTTACAGGGATTTTAGTTCATTTTTCACCATTCTGTATGTCTTTAAAGTGTGACTGCTTTTGGTGGGGGCAGGATCTTCAAACATTACTTAGAGTCCATGTCATCACTTACAGCCCTGCTCTATTCAGCAGTGCAGGAGGATGAATGGGTTACTGCTTGGATCCCCTGCTACTCAAGGGCACCAGAAAAAATAAAAACCTGGTACTAAGGGTATATTGTTCTGGGGATCCACCTTGAGCTAGTTAGTTCATAGAAGGTGTGTGCCCAATCCTGTTTTCTATCTCCTTGTCCCTGAATGCATATTATTTAATTGATAATATCATATATTGGAGTAGTCAAAGTTACTTCTAAAACAAGTACAATCAACAAATTCACAAGATGCCAAACATACAAAAATGAATAGAATTTCTTTTGATTACCAATGAATCTGTAAAAACATAGTCAAAATAGTTTATTTACAATAATAAAAATATGAAATAGACAATGTCTTAGTTTGGGCAGATATTTAAATTGCCTTAGATTATGTGGTTTAAAAAACATTTATTTTTTACCATTGTGGAGACTAACATTCTTTGGATATGTTTTGATTTTTAGTACATATTCTATTCCTAGTTTGTAGAAGACTGTCATTTTCTAAGTCCTCATATGATGTAAAGCTAGTGAGCTAGTCTCTCTCTCTCTCTCTCTCTCTCTCTCTCTCTCTCTCTCTCTCTCTCTCTCTCTTCTCTCTCTCTCTAACACGCACACACTGGGGGTATGGTGAGGCTAGCAGGTCAACCTGTACCTGCGGGGCAAATGCATCAGCAGCCTGATGGTGCCTTCAGGCTTCCTGATACCCCAAAAGTGCCTTTGGCTGGACCCCAACAACCTGGGGCCAAGTTTACCAAAAGAAATTAAATAGTCAAAAGTTAGATATGTGGGAGCCAGCCCACAAACCACTTCTGGCTCAGCTATACAACTATACAAGTTCATTTATTGGCCTTATTTCAGAGACCCATAAATAAATCTTGAAAGAGATAAAAAGCTGTAGTGAATTTTGGACCTGGGCATGACTGAACAGACCTGGGTAAAGCCGAGGGGGATGGGTCAGCCTGGAGCCCACCTAAGCAGTGCCCCTGGCAGTTGCTTTCTTCCACAATCCAAAATCACCACCATAACCCTGGCCTGATTCCATCATCTCAGGATGGATCTCAGCAAGATGCAATCTGCTAAAAACTCGAGTATACAGGTTCTGTGACTGAAATCTCCAGGCTTTCCTGGAGTTGGGATAGATTACTTCCCCCCACTTTCCAATACTCCCGAAACCTTTGGCAGTCACCCCCACAAACCAACTCCAGCGCCACCATGTAAGCTCTACTACTGACTTTGCTTCAGAGACCCATAAATAAATCTTGAAAGAGATCAAAAGTCACAGTGAATTTTGGATCTGCACAAGCCTGAACAGACGGGGGTAAATCGGAGGGGGCCATGTCAGCTTGGTGCACACCCAAGCAGAACCTTTGGCAGCTGCTTGCTTCTAAAACCCAGTCATCACTATACACCTGGACTGATTCCACCATCTCGGGATGGATCTCACAGAAAATTCTGGTATGTGGGTTTTGTGACTTTTCTTGGGGTCGGGATGGGCTACCTCCCTGTACCTCCCTATATTTCCGGAAGCCTTGGCAGTCACATCCACCCCCCCAAAGCTTCCACCCAGTTGGAAAGCTACTTCAGCCTTACCATCCCGATAAAAGTACCACATGCCCTGAACAAAAACTTTAACTTCTTAGCACCTATATTGCTAATGATAATGCACAAAAGGAAAAGGAGAGAGAGAACAAGAAGGAAAGTGCCTCCCTTAGAGAGAGGCTGGGGATGGGGGATGGGGTGTTGGGGCATGGCAGGAGGGGAATAGGGGACATTAGTGGTGGGTAATGTACCTGGGTGGAAGGATGGGTGCTGGATCATTGTATGACTGAAGCACAATTATGAACACTTTTTTTTGTTTTGCTTTATGTAAGAGTACTGCTATTTATTCAGCCACTGGTTAGCTGATTGAATTGGGCATGAACTCCACCTTACTTTTTTTTCCCATAATTTTATTTATTTATTTTTCATAATTTTATTTATTTATTTTTCTTCTTATACTTATTTATTGAATCACTGTCGGAAAAGTTACAAAGCTTTCAGGTTTAAGTCTCGGTCATACAATGATCAAACACCTTTCCCTTGACCAGTACTCATTTTTCACCACCAAGAACCCCAATATACCCCCCTCCCACCCCTCCCAATGCCTGTGAGGCAGATGATTTCTACTTAACTCTTCTTTACATTGATTACATTATTTCAACAAAAGATGCATAATTATTGTTTAGAATTTCCCCCTCAACAATCAGAATTGCTGAAAAGGCATTGTGAAATACTTTGTTTTCTATAGCTGGTATGAAAATCATATAAAGTCATATTATGATTTTGGATTTCTGCGAAGAGCCAGATCATTAGGAGATTGGTTTCTGTGCATCTGGTGTTATGGCTGTGCCGGAGAGCCACTCGTGGGGGGCAACTCCTGACCTCGGTAGGGCGTGAAGGACGAGCTGATACTGCCCCCCTTCCCATGATACTGCGGGAACACTTTTTAATGGTCTATCTCACTGATATTCAATTAAAAATTTTTTTTAAAAGCAGTGTGGAGTTCATGTCCACTTCAATCAGCTTAATTAATAGCTTAAAAATATAGTAGTGCTCCTACATTAAAACACACACACACACACACACCACACAATTGTTCCCAGTTTTCTCTGCCAGGAGGAATCCTGAATCCAGAGCCAGAAGTAAGCCTGGATCACATCCATATATGACTCCAGACTCTACCCTCCTCTGCAAGCAAATAATTTCTAAAGCCATTTATGAAGGTGTGATCTACTAACATCCAACTGCAAAAACACTAAAATTTGTGTTTCAACACATTATGGGGTGGGGTGAGAGATATCCCAAATATTGTAGGTAAATGCATAGTAAAACATGTATTGATTTTATGTATTTAAAACTAAAAAATGCAGATATAATAAGCCAAAGAGGACAAATATGTAGAAAGACATGATTATAAAACTCAGCAAAATAATTATTTCGTTTCTTGCAATGCATTCAGCTTTAACTAAATTCTTAAAGTAATGTAGAACATTTATGAAAATAGATGTTTGATCTCAATGGCACATAGAATATCAAAAGAACTGATGAAGTTAAAATAATAGAGAACTAGGTGTAATCTTAGTATTTGAGCTCAAAATATATTATATTATTATCTTAAGAGGACTGTGGTATTGATGGAGGGCAAAATGCTTTAAATAGTGGAGCATAATAGAGAACTCAGAAATAAGTCTACATGAAATAAAAGTTTTTTTGAGAGAAGAAAGGACGCTGGGTGGCTCCACAGCTCCCGGAGAATGCACCAGGTCCCAAAAAGAGCCGAGATCACCGGGAAGTCCCAGATGGGGTAAGTGCCACAACCCGCCTCCTCCAGATGGAACCCCGGTGACCATGAGCCTCTACAAGCATAGCTCAAGTATGTGGGAACCAGGACCTTTAATCCAAATCGTGCAACTGCATAAGTGGCTGTGCGACATTACCCTATATACAAAGTGATCAATGGAAAGTAAATCATACAACGTTTCTCCCTGAAAATCGGGCTTAACTCTGATACAAACCACAAAACCCAATAGGAGAGAGAGAATAAAAGGGAATGCCCTGCCACAGAGGCAGGGTGGGATGGGAGGGGTGGGCGGTGGGAGGGATACTGGGACCCGTGGTTGTGGGAAATGGTCACTGGTGGAGGGATGGGTATTCAAAATAAATAAATTAATATAAAAGAAGAAAAAGTTTTTCAATGAAGAAAAGGTATCTTCAATATGGGGGCTGGAATAATTAAATATCAATGTATCTACATAATTGAATATCCAATAAATGAACCTTTACTTAAATTTTAATACTGTAGCTATATATAAAAATTAGCTCAAAGTTGATAACTAATTAATACATAAAGTATTAGATGATATCTTAAAAGATACATAAGAAAATTCTTTTAGAAATATATTTTTAGACATAATATCAAAAGTATTATCTATAAAAATAGATGAATTGGGCTTTTTTAAAAAATAAATATTTTTCTGCAAACAAAACCCATGAAAATACTTAAGGCCAAACTACTAAGTGAAAGAATTTGACAAGTAATCTCTATAAAAAGTATATAAAGCTTTTTAAATTAACATTTAAAAATAAAATAAAAACAGATAATTCTAAAGAATTATACAAATGACAGCAAAAAAAAACAAAATTAAGTCTAACAATATATCCATTATTACTGACATTTATCAATGCAAATTAAGTCAACTATCAGGTAGTATCACTATTTATTGGAACAGTTAAAAGGTAAAGGCCCTCCCGTTGATCGTCGATTTGTTCGAGCGGGCCCAGTAACGTCTCCATTGGAGACTTTGTTGTTACTGTGTCTGGCATATCGAATACTCTCGGTAGCTTGCCGGGCTCTCCGAGAGGGGCGGAGGAATCGAACTCGGGTCGGCCATGTTGGCCGCTTGTAAGGCGAACGCCCTACCCACTGTGCTATCGCTCCAGCCCAGTTAAAATTTTAAAAATGCAGTGAAAACAAAACACAGTTGGTAGAAAAACTGGATATTTTGAACACTGTTGGTTCAAATGAAATTGGCATCATCTTTTAAAAAATGTCTTATAAGTTGTTAGATCAAGTAATAATTGTTTACAAACTAGTATACATTGGTATTGTTGGAGGTCGTTATGACTTTAAAGAGATTCAAAAGGGAGATTTTTGTGTTAATTGAATAGTTATGTAACTTGTTTGCAATATAGTTTGATTTATAAATGAATATAGGGAAAGTGACAGAAATAAATGCATTGAAAATGGCAGGTGGGACTGGAGAGATGATACTGTGGGTAGGACGTTTGCCTTGCATGTGGCAGACCCGGGTTCAATCCCCACACCCCACACAGTCCCCCTGAGCACCGCCAGGAGTAATTCCTGAGTACAGAGCTAGGAGTAAACCCTGTGCATCATTAGATATGACTCAAAATGGGGAAAACAAAAAAGAAAGAAAAAGGCAGGAAAATACATAACTGAATTTTCTGGCTTTGGTAATGTGCTAAAGATTTGTAATATGTAACTATTGATGTGACTTAAAGATGTGCCACAGTTGATATTATAAATTCTTTAGTGAAACAGTTCATAAAAAATTTGCTATAAATGTAAATGAACTTCATCGTCATATATATACTCATTTATTATAAATAGAGAAGACCTAATCTCCTACATTACTCTAGCAAGATTACTATGGTTCATTAAACACAAACATTTTTAATGATTTTTTAAAATTTTCAATTAATTTTTATGTTTTAATTCTTGTAATAATATTTTTATACTTTTAAAATGTCATTTATTTGCTCAAAATCCAAATATAACATTTGATATATCTATTTTATTTCAGAAAAAAATGTTTTCAAAATTATTACCTATTTATGTAGAAATTCATATTATAGTGGAAAAGGATTTGGTAAGTGAAACTTTTCTTAACTCTTTTTTTTCAACATAATATTTTCTATAATTTTAAGGATGTATGTTTAATTATTTACAAAGATATTTTTTATTATAGTTGCTATTCAATTACTATTGAAAGGTCAAATAAATAAAACATCAAAACTCTACTCTCTTCTCATACATTCAACTCTTTGTTCTCATAACCAAAAACTTTGACTGACTTTAACTCACTTATCTTGTTATTTTGCTGTTTCTGCTGCTTTAACATACTATTTACATATGAAGTAATCATCTAAAATGTTTCAATCTCTTAATAACAAGGCAGACTATATCATTTGATAATGCTTTGATAGCAAATGTTTCTAATGTCTTAAATTATATAAATGATTATATAAATGCTTTGATATCAATTGTTTTTAATGTGTTAAATTATATAAATGAGAAACAATTTGAGTGCTCAAATATGTTTTTTTCTTGTATTTTTACTTAAATAATCATATTTATATTTTAAAAATCATTTTTATTGATATGCTTGGATTTTCAATACTGTTAATCATATTTTCATAAATATATCATTCAATGATTGATTTAAAGAAGGCTTTTGATTCTGTTGAGACGGAAGCAGTCATTGAAGCCCTAGCCAATCAGGGTGTTCAAACTCAATACATCAGGATCCTCTGTGAGCTGTATTACGGATTCACTACCAGGATCTCACCATTCTACAAAGAAGTGATCGTTGATGTTAAGAGAGGGGTTCGGCAGGGTGATACCATTTCACCGAAACTCTTCAGTGCCACCCTCGAGAACATCATGAGATGACTGGAATGGGAAGGAATGGGAGTGAAGATAGATGGTCGGCAAATACACCATCTCCTCTTTAATGATGACATTGTTCTAATAACACCAAACATTAGCCAAGCAACACAAATGCTGGCCGACTTTGACCGTGAGTGTGGAAAGGTCGGATTACAGCTGAATCTCACAAAGACAATGTTCATGAGAAACAGTCTTGTTCCTGACGTTCCATTCACTCTCAATGGAATGACCATCTCTTAATGCAACAGTTATGTGTACCTAGGTTGAGAAGTCAACATGATGAATGACCTGGCACCTGAGTTGCGCAGGAGAAAGAGAGCGGCTTGGAATGCCTTCAAGAGCGTCAAAGAAATAGCTAAAAGGACGAAGTACCTCCAGCTCCAAGCACATCTCTTTGATTCCACTGTTCTTCCTGCATTAACATATGCCTCAGAGACCTGGGCCCTACGAAAACATGATGAGAACGCTATTCAGATCTCTCAAAGAGGAATTGAAAGAGCTATGCTTGGAGTATCATGCTTCACTCAAATGAGAGAAAGAATCTGGAGTTCCGACCTCCGTCAATGCTCAAGAATCAAGGACGCTGTCCCATTTGCCTAGGCATTGAAAATCAGATGGACTGGACACGTAATGAGATTTGAAGACGACCGCTGGACTAGAGCCATTACCGACTGGATTCCACGGGACATCAAAAGATCACTTGGCCGCCCACCTACCGGATGGTCAGACTTCTTTGTCAAGACCCTGAGCGATCAGTTTGAGACTGTTCATGATCCTAGAATGAGCAGATGCCATTGGGCTACGCTAGCACGCAACAGGGATGAATGGAGACGGTACTGGTGTCTGCTCTAGCAAATCAATGAGTAACGGGATATCAAGTTATCAAGTGATATCATTAAAAAACAACACTCATCACCAGAGAGCCCATTTCCACCTCCAGGAGCACAAGAACCCCTTTCATCCCTACCCACCCATGTGAACTCAATTATGTAGACAATATCTTCAGTTCTGATGAAGTGGTGCCCATTTGTTTTCCATTTATTATGCTTCTTTTTTAAATTTTATATTTTGTATTTGGGATAGATCTCTCTTTATCCATGGAAGTAGTAACATCTACAAACATAGGTGAATATAGCTAATCTCTAGAATTCCACAAAATTGCTAATTAATGATAAATTTATAAAGTAAAATATTTTTAAAAAGATAGTTTTTAATTATCTAAGTTAAAACTTAATATTATGGATTATTCTGTGCTAATACACTTATATTTATATAAAAATAATTCTACAAATGTAAAATTTAATAATAGTGAGGAGAGATAAGGAAGACATGAGGGGACAATATTAATAGGTCTATAGAAGCAAAAGAAGTAAGTTTTATTTGAAGAAAAAGAATATTAGATTTATGTTCAAAAATACTATTGATATGCTTGAGTCCACAATAATAAGTAAAATGTTGTAATAAAAATCTTTTTAGATATAAAAAACCCCTACCTAATCAGATATATAATGTTAAATATAAATGAAATGTTAATTCTTATTGTGAATGTAAACAATCCCTCAGCTGGACAGGAATAAGCAAACCTTGCTTAATTTAGTAGAAGGCAACCACAAGAGTCATGAATGAGTACCATGTGCAATGCCAAGTGCTGAGAAATTTGTCTTTTCTTTAAAGAAGCTTCTTACAAGTCTGGTTTCAAGTCTGTAAATTCCCTAAGCAGTTGCCAGTTCCCAAATACATATTGTTCCCTCAGATATGAATTTGATAACTTTGATGTATCATGTTGTGATACCTTGTGGTGACATGTTCATTTCATTTCATTGAGAATTTGTACTATATCCTTCCATTCTCTTCTGGTTCATAGAGTCTCACTTGATAGATATGCTACGAATATGGATTTTCATTTGAATGTAAATTCTTTTTTTATACTGCTGCTTTCACTTTTTGTCTCTATCTTTAATTTTGTCATTTTGAGCATAATGTGTCTTAGAGCCTTTTTATTTGAGTCTATTTTTCCTGGGACCCTCCTTTTGGTTTCTTCAATCTGTGTGCCTGTATTCTTCAACACTAGAAAATTCTTATCAATTATTTCTTTCTTTTTTTTTTATGTATTACATAGTTTTTTTTTAATATTGAAATATTTTAAAGTGATTTTTTTTAATTTATTTATTGAATCACCGTGGGAAAGGTTACAAAGCTTTCAGGTTTAGGTCTCAGTCATGCAAATATCAAACACATTTCCCTTTACCAATACTTATTTTTTACCATGAAGAACCCCAATAAAACTCCACCCCCCACCCCTCCCCGTCCCTGTGGGGCAGATGAATTCTAGTTAACACTCTATCTGCTTTGATTAGATTCATTGTTTCAATAAAATATTCACCACTATTATTTAGAGTTTACCCCCCCCCCCCAAATCAGACATGCTGAAAAAGCATTGTGAAGTGATTTGCTTTCTACAGCTGGGTTCAAGAATTAAATGTTGGTTTTGGATTTCTGCTATTTTACTTATTGACCCTGGAAGTATTTCTACTGAAAGTCAGATAGTTAAGAAATTGGTTTCTGTGCTCTGGAGTCGTGGCCGTGCTGGAGAGCCGCTCATGGGGGGCAACTGGTGGCCTCGGTAGGGCGTGAAGGGCGGACCGAAACGCCCCCCTTCCCATGAGGTTTTAGTCGCCCCCACTCCCCCGGCTCATGCCTGCTGTCCACAAGGCTCCCATGTGGCCGCCATCTTTCTTTCCAGAGAGGAGAGGGCGAATGGGGCAACACCCTTTCCCCTCCGGACAGACATGATGGCCTGGATTAACGCATAGTCCGTTCACTTTTCTGCTCCAAGCTGCCGGGTTCTGCATTAAGTCCTTGTGCTTCTGGGGCCGTGGCCGTGCTGGAGAGCCGCTTGCGGGGGGCAACTGGTGACCTCAGTAGGGCGTGAAGGATGGACCGGAATGCCCCCCTTCCCATGAGGTTTTAGTCGCCCCCACTCCCCCGGCTCATGCCTGCTGTCCACAAGGATCCCATGTGGCCGCCATCTTTCTTTCCAGAGAGGAGAGGGCGAATGGGGCAACACCCTTTCCCCTCTGGACAGTCATGATGGCCTGGATTAACGCGTAGCCCATTCACTTTTCTGCTCCAAGCTTCTGGGTTATGCATTAAGTCCTTGTGTTTCTGGGGCTGTGGCTGTGCTCCAAACTTAACTATGATTTTCAGAGAGAAACGTTGGGTGGTTTACTTCCCATGGATCACTTTGTATATAGAAAGACGTCGAGCAGCCGTATAAGCGTCCGCGCGGTTTTGAGGAAAAGTCCTAGTTCCCGCATACTTGAGCTGTGCTTGTAGAGGCTTCTGGTCACCGGGGTTCCATCTGGGGGAGGCGGGATGCGGTACCTACCCCATCTGGGACTTTCCGATGATCTCGGCTCTTTTTGGAACCTGTTTTTTTTTTTTTTCCTTCGGGATCTGTGGATCCCGCCCTCCATGTAGTCCTTCTCTTTGGCTGAATGCTGTAAAGATGGCGCTGGGGGGCGGGCTGTGGGCGTGACTTCCGGAATCTGAGGTTACCTGGGAGTTGTAGTCCCGGCAGATTTGAGGAAAAGTCCTAGTTCCCGCATACTCGAGCTGTGCTTGTAGAGGCTTCTGGTCACCGGGGTTCCATCTGGGGGAGGCAGGATGCGGTACCTACCCCATCTGGGACTTCCCGATGATCTCGGCTCTTTTTGGAACCTGTTTTTTTTTTTTCCCCTTCCGGATCTGTGGATCCCGCCCTCCATGTAGTCCTTCTCTTAGGCTGAATGCTCTATTTCTTTTTTTAATGTACATAAGATACTTTATTTAAACACCACACTTCACAAAGTTGTTCAGATTACAGTTGTTACAAGCTGTTGATGTTTGTCACCAAGCATATCACCAAAGTGACCCTCCCTCCACTACTGTCCTCATTTACCAAACTACCCTCACCTTAGCAGGCACACAGGCTAATTTACTATATACTGCTTGTTGCAACTGCATGGCTAAAGAAATGATCAAAAATATTTCAGTAAAAGAAAATAGTGAAAAATTGTTGTATCTCACCATGGGATTGTTAAGTCCTTGTCTGTGGATTTATAAAGTTGTTTGTTGCTAACTGAGCCTTCAGTGGTTTTGTTTTTGTCTGTTAAATTTAGTTGGCTTCTATGCAACTTTCCACATAATTTGCAGTGCTCCTACTGACATTTCAGTATTGACAAATTGGAGGAGGTGTCATGCAGCCGCCTATCTACACACTTTAGGATCTATGGTCTGGATCAGTGAAGTTTTGGTACTTCTGCTGTGCTGAAGATGATTCTTTGTAGTTAGTCCCCATGAGACTCTCCGAGGAATTGTACTGAGATCTACTATCTTCCTTACCCGTCTGTCTTCATTCAATGATGCAACATCTAACTGTGAGCAGTGTAGATTTGATGAGGAGTTTTGGAAATGGACCCGTAGGAATGTCAGAGGTTAGGTGTGGAGGCTAGAGAGTGGTATCACCTGCTAGGTGGTCAGTGAGCAGAGTTTCTATATTAATTTTGTAATGTTATCCTTCTCTATTGTTTTATTATGCCTTAATTTTTTGGAAAAATTCTACAGTTGTTCCTTCTGGGATCATGAATTTACTGTTTCCCCAGATTGCTTTGACTCACTTTTTTTAAGTCAATATTGATTTCAAAGACTGATTTTAATATTGATTTCAAATATTGCTCGGGCAGAGCCTGGCAAGCACCCCGTGGCATATTCAATATGCCAAATACAGTAATGACAGTAGGTCTCATTCCTCTGACCCTGAAAGAGCTTCCCATCGTTGGGAAAAGATGAGTAAGAAGAGGCTGCTAAAATCTCAAGGCTGAGAGGAATAAAGACATTACTGGCGTCTGCTCGAGTAATTCAATGATCTATAATTCTATATTTATTTCAGTACCATTGCAGTTTTGATTATTATAACTCTGTGGCACAGAGTTGAGAAACACAGTATCTCCCATATTCTTTCTCTTACAATTTCTTTGACTATACAAGGGACTAAATTTACAAATTTTAGTAAAGATTTTTCCAAATTATTGATGAATGTCATTGGAGTTTTGATGGGAATTACTTTAAAATTTATATACTTTGTGTAGGCAGTTATTTTAACATTGTTGATTATTCTAATTCATAAAAGGGATATTTTCCCTGTTATCTATTTTATTTTCTGGTATCTTCTATTTCATAGTGATTTATGGTTTTACTGTACAATTTGTTCACTTTTAAATGAATTTTTAAGTATCTGGTATTTTGGGGCACTTGAACGGGGCTGTCTTTAATTATTTAATTCTTTAATTCCTTTAATTCTCATTAATTATTTGAATATAGAAATGCTACAAACTTTTCTGTGTTAGCTTTGTATTCTACTTTGCTGTAATTATTTATTGTTTGTAAGATTTTTGATTTCTTCGACGTTCTTGAAGGCATTCCAAGCCACTCTCTTCCTCCGGCGCACCTCGGGTGCCAGGTCATTTGTCATGTTGACTTCTAGACATAGGTACACATACCTGTTGCATTCGGAGATGGTCATTCCGTTGAGAGCGAATGGGGCGTCAGGAACGAGGCTGTTTCTCATAAACATTGTCTTCGTAAGATTCAGCTGTAGTCCTATCTTTCCACACTCACGGTCAAAGTTGGTCAGCATTGGTGCCGCTTGGCTGATGTTTGGTGCTATTAAAACAATGTCATCAGCAAAGCGGAGGTGGTGTAGTTGTCGACCATCTATCTTCACTCCCATTCCTTCCCATTCCAGTCGTCGCATGATGTTCTCGAGGGTGGCACTGAAGAGTTTCGGTGAAATGGTATCACCCTGCTGAACCCCTCTCTTGACATCAATGATTACTTCTTTGTAGAATGGTGAGATCCTGGTAGTGAATCTGCAATACAGCTCACGGAGGATCTTGATGTATTGAGCTTGAATGCCCTGATTGGCTAGGGCTTCAATGACCACTTCCGTCTCAACAGAATCAAAGGCCTTCTTTAAATCAATGAACGTTAAACAAAGCGGCATCTTGAACTCCTGAGAAACCTCAATGAGCTTGGTTATCGTGTGGATATGGTCGATGGTGCTGAATCCTTTGCGGAACCCGGCTTGCTCTCATGGTTGTCCTTCAACTAGTGTTCTGCCAATCCTATTTAGGATGACTCAGTGAACAACTTGTAGATGACAGACAATAGGCAGATCGGGTGATAGTTGCCAATGTCATGGATGTCTCTCTTCTTGAACAGTAGTACGGTCCTGCTGGTTTTCCATTGAGATGGAACCATGCATTCGGACAGGTAGCATGTGAAGAGCTGAGCCAGTGTATTGATGAGTACTGACAGCAGGTTCTTCAGGTGTTCAGGTCTGACCTTGTCTGGGCCGGGTGCTGTTCATTTCTTTACCGACGAAATGGCGTGTCGGATTTTGGAAGGGAGAACGTTGGGAACGACATATCCATGCTGTGGAATTTGGTATGTTGGCAAGTGGACATGGCTATCGAAGAGATTTGAGTAGAAGTCATGGATAATCTTCTCCATTGCCGTTCTGGAGGATGTGATGGATCCATCAAGATGTCGGAGGGCAGTCATCTTGGTCTTGTAGTTGGCGAAGGACAGGCGGGTGTTACGAATACTTTTCCCGGCTTCTGCCGCATCTACCAGCACTTCTGCTCTTCTCTCTTTGAGGTCTTCCTTGATCGCATCTCTGCATTGCTTTGCGAGCTGGGATGTTAGTTTGCGGTTGCCTGAGGCATGCGCCAAACCACGCTGTCGAATAAGCTCAAGAGTTTTCGAAGACAGGCGATTTTTTGTGGCTATCTCTCTCTTGGCATTCCTCGCACATTCATGGAGGTGCTGTACCAGTCGATCATATTCCTCATCAATGTTGTCAACAATGGCATCTTCCCATGTTGCTGCAATAGTGCCAAAGAGCTCCCAGTTGGTGGTCATTCTGGGAGTTCTCTTTATACTTTGCAGCCCTTTCTCCCCGCTCTGTGAAGTAGAATTTTGCATGAAGGAGACAGTGGTCTGATCCTGTTTGGAATTTTGGGACAAAAGTGACATCAGTCAGGCAAAACTGTCGATTGAAAATGATGTGGTCTATTTTGTTGTGGAATCGTCCACCAGGAGACTCCCATGTCCAACGTTTAGATTCTGCCTTCTGGAACTGTGAGTTATCATGGATGGTCTTGGTCGACATGATGAACTCAGACAGTCTCTCACCCTGTTCGTTCCATTCTAGGCCATGGGTCCCGATGTGAAGTTCTTCAGCTGATCTTCTCGGTCCTATCTTGGCATTAAAATCACCCACAATGATCTTTTAGAAGGTGTGGTCTTCTTTATAGAACTTCTCCAGCTCCATGTAGAACTTCTCAATTTCTCTTTCATCATAATGAGATGTTGGTGTGTAGACAACGAAGATAGAAACTGCCGGCAGTGAGTCACATCTATTCAAGAACGTCGAAGAAATAGCTAAGAGGATGAAGAAACTCCGGCTCCGGGCACATCTCTTTGATTCCACTGTTCTTCCTGCATTAACATATGCCTCAGAGACCTGGGCCCTATGCAAACAGGATGAGAACGCTATTCAGGTCTCCCAAAGAAAAATTGAAAGAGCTATGCTTGGAATATCACGTTTCACTCAAATGAGAGAAAGAATCCGGAGTTCCGACATCCGTCGACGATCAAGAATCAGGGACGCTGTCTCATTTGCCAAGGTGTCAAAAATCAGATGGGCTGGTCACGTAATGAGATTTAAAGACGACCGCTGGACTAGAGCTGTTACCGACTGGATTCCACGGGATGTCAAAAACCGTGTGGCCGCCCACCTACCAGATGGTCACACTTTTTCGTGAAGATCATGAACGATCGGTTTGAGGCTCTTCATGTTTCCAGAGCGAAAAGATGCCATTGGGCTACACTAGCACGCGACAGGGACAAATGGAGATGTTACTGGTGCCCGCTCGAGCAAATCGACAACTAATGGGAAGTTAAGTGATTAAGTGATTAAGATTTTTGATGTAATCATTAGATTTGCAATGCATATTATCATGTCATCCTCAAATAGGGATATTTAACTTCTTTTCCAATTTGGCCCTTTTGCTATTTTTTTCTTTTCTATAGCAAAGACTTCCAAACTATGCTGAATAAGACTGATGAAAGTAGACATTTTTCCCATGAGCCTGATCTCAGGAGAAAGACATTCAGTTTTCACCATGGAGTACTATATTGGCTGGGCCACACTTGGTTGTTTTCAGATCTTATTTCTTGCTCTGCGTTCAAGGGTCATGTCTGCTAGTGCTTGGGGGAACAATGCTTGTGTCAGGGATTGAATCAGGGTCTGCATCTTGAAAGGCAAACACCTTATTCCATGTGCTAACTTTCTAGCCCTAGCTTCTATTTCTTTTAATAGAGATTTGTGCTGGAGCGATAGCACAGCGGGTAGGGCGTTCGCCTTACAAGCGGCCAACATGGCCGACCCAAGTTCGATTCCTCCGCCCCTCTCGGAGAGCCCGGCAAGCTACCGAGAGTATTCGATATGCCAGACACAGTAACAACAAAGTCTGCAATGGAGACGTTACTGGGCCCGCTTGAGCAAATCGATGATCAATGGGAGGGCCTTGTATATTTCTGTCTTATATAAATGTATATAAGACTTATATAAATAAGTCTTCTACATAATTTCATAAAATTTATTCCTAGGTGCTAATTATTTTAATATTTTTTTTCTTTACTTATATTCTTTTACTTATATTCTTTTTGATTACTTGCATAACAAAATGCTTTTTATTCCTCAAGCAATTCTCAGGGCTGTAAAGTAGTATTCCCAGAATACGTGGACATTCTGCCAATTGAGAAGGAAGTTTAAAAACTAGTCCAGGAGAAAGAACACAGAACTATGAGGGCTCTGTGGACACAGGTTTATGAGGTGTGAGCAGTCACATTCAGGTCCATGTGCATGCAAGTCTTGCTTCCATGAACAATGAATTTTGTCCCCCTCTACACAACGGTTTGTAATACATAGTTTTAGACTTGTACTTTAGTATACTGATTTGTTCTTCATCAAATATTTTATTGGAGTTTTTAATGAAGTCTTTATTTTCTATGTATGAATTCTGTTATTTGCAAATAATATATATCAGATTTTTTTAAAAGATCATACAAATTCTGCCTTTACAGTATGACTATATGGGATCAGAAATGATGGTTGTCACCCAGAAAATTATCCAGATTGTCAGCCTTGTTAACACTGTAAGTTTTTAATATTTAGCATCTCCTATAATTCATTAAAATTAAATTAAAATAGATTTTTATTCCTTTGTGTTCTTTCAACCAGCTCTTTAGTTATAAAATGTGAAGTCCAAATTACTAATGCAAGTACAATTTTATGTAAAGATCAATTATAATTTGGAAGACGTTGTAAAAAATCCTTGAGTAAAAGTATTCTGAAGAGATCTTGAAGAAACTGATTATTCACACCTTTGCATAAGTCACTCCTTGCCTAAAATAGTGTGCATTCCTTAAACCCAATATGAGAGAGAAGAATTTTATTCCACTTATTTGTGTAGGTACTTTAGGTCAAATAATTCTATCATTCTTTTCATTAAAAAGTTTTACTTTTAATTTATACAACTTGATTTATAGAACTATTAACAATAAACTTCCAGGCGTACAATGTTCCAACTAGAGAACGTTTTTCAGATCCCCAACACCGCCTCGCTCCACCACCTGCCTCCCAGACAGGCACATATTAAAATGTGATTATTGTTGTTTCAGAACTGTTGGCTCTAGTGGTTTAGCAATATCAGATATCTCACTTACCCCCAATATGTCTAAGGGACCACATCCTTGCCCATGTGCTGTCTTCAGAATGCCTCTTCTTATTCTCTGCTCCCTTTCTTTCTGTTCCCTGCCTTTCTATCCCTGTCATCTAGAACCAGAAGTTAAAATTAATGAATTGTTGACATTTATTAGTCTTATATTCAGCATAGTCAACACTTCTATTTTATGTAGTTTTAATACAATGAGTTTTGATATAATATGTGATGCAATGTTATTTAAAATTTTTTAATCATAGGGATTGGAGAACTAATACTGATTTAAAAATTTTTATTTATAGAGGTAGGGAATGTGTTTTGAATGTGGCTGATGCAAGACAAGTCCCCAATTCAATTCCTGGCATCCCATGTGGCCCTCTGAGTCCTACCAAGAGTGATTCTGTTGAGTGTGTGGCCTGAAAAAATTTCATCTATACTCTACTGCTATTTCTGCTTGCTTTTAAGGAATTTTTATTAATGCCCATGATTTATAATATTGTTAATAGAACGTTACAACATACAATAATATACCAATATTAGATTCCTGGCATTCCTCCCCAATGTTTTATAATTCATCTCTCACCACTCTCTAACACCCTTGGAAGCTTCAGTTCTGTGGGCTGATTCTTAGGGTTTGACATAGCTGAACATTTTGATGTAGTTGTTACTTTACCTTTCCTTATTATATTTCTTTATATAGCACATTATGAGAGACCATTTTTCATTAGCTAGTCTCCTTCTGATTGATTTCACTTAACTTGATACCCTTTCCTTCCATACATGTAGTGGAAAAATTGCACGATTTCTTTCTCCTTGTATCGCTCCCTCGCTCCCTCTCTCCCTCCTTTCTTTCCTTCCTTCCTTCCATCCTTCTGTCAATCCTTCTTCTGGCTTACTTCATTTACTATGACATCGCTAGTTCTGTCCAAGTTGCAGCAAATTCATTCATTTGTCATTGGATACCTAGATAGATTCCATCATCTTGCTATTATACTTTCTGCAAAGAATAATGTTGTGCATGTGTCTTTCTGAGTGAATATTTTTCTGTCCTTGGGTATATGCTCACAAATGAAATTGATGGGTCACATGACAGTTCGATTTTTTTTTTACTTTACTGAGGAATCTACATACTGTTTTCCATACGGATTGCACCAGGCAACATTCTCACCAGCAGCAGGTGATTCCCCTTTCACCGCATGCCCCATAGAACAAAATGTTCCTAATATTTTTAAAATATTTTATGCTAAAGAACCACAGGAATTTCAGTGTTTCAGAGGCTACTAGACTTCAAATGGTATTTCAGTGATCAGGCAAGTGTAGGTCTAGTTTATCCCATTTTTATTCCAGCAGTCTGGAGTCAGTCTGAAATGGACATAAGAACATGTGCTTATCCCCTAACCCATATAGTTTGTGAGCTTGGAGTAGAGTTATTTAGGGTATCAGAGTAACCACTGGGGCCACAAGCACCCTTGGGACAACTGTTTGGGTTTAAATGTAATTGGTCTGTATGATTAGTCCTGGGGCCCAGGGCCAGAACAGTAACGATTAACCAGTTCGGGAGACTGGGGAAGGACAGTCTCTCTGTTAGGTGAGATGGGACAGGTAGAGTCTTGCTTCTGCTTTTTTTTGATGTGGCCAATCTTATTTGTGAGAGGAGATATCTTATTGTTTTTAATTGCAGTTTCTTGATAAGTAGAGCACATTTTCATATACTATTGGTCATATTTGTCCTTTGAGGAAGCGTTCAGTTCTTCTCATTTTTTGATGTTTTTAAATTTAATTTTATTTTTATAAAGTAGTTCACAATATTTGATTACATTTAATATTCAAACAACAATCCCACAACCATACACCTTCCCAAAACCATATTTTAGATGTTTCCATCCTGAACCCCAAACCCTACCACAAAGCAGAAATGAAATAATTTATTTTGTATTATTTGTTATGGCTGGAGCGATAGCACAGTGGTAGGGTGTTTGCCTTGCAAGCCGCAGGCCTGGCCGAGCAGGGTTCAATTCCTCCGCCTCTCTCAGAGAGCTCAGCAAGTTACTGAGAGTATCTCACTAGAACGACAGAGCCTGGGAAGCTACGTGACTTATTGGATTTGCCAAACACAGTAACAACAAGTCTCAAAATGGAGACGTTACTGGGCCCACTCGAGCAAATCAATGAACAACGTGAGGACAGTGCTACAGTGTTTGTTATGAATAAACTCCTGAAAATGCTCCAAAAAAGATTTCTTACAGGTATGTGTGTGAAGATTGCTGTATTTCACCCAGGATCATATAAGACCTTCTGTAAAAAATCACTAACATGCTGTTAAAGGTTGAGTCTTGTATATATATATATATATATATATATATATATATATATATATCTGAAAATGTATTTCCCTCTAAGATTGGTTGCCTTCTACTTTAAACTCCATAAAATGTGGCATGCTACTATTGGAATATGAGTGATATGAGGTATGAGATGTGTGGCTGTGAATGTGGCCACATGGTTCAGGAATAGGTTCACTTGTGGATGAGGGTCCGTGGGAGCATGTAGAGATTGGCTGTGACCAGGGTGGTGGTTGAGTACTGGAGGTTTTCAGCTGCTAAGTCTGAGTCCCTTGGGGTGGGGAGGTGCCTCATCCGCCCCTCCTCTGGGATAACCCAAATGAAACAGCCTGGCACGGACCTTGCGGCATGGCTATATTGAGTCATTTTATGGTCTCCTCAGAGAGAATTGTAATGATTTTTTGATGCTTTTAATTGTTAATTTTTGTAAACGCTTTATATTGGGTATAAAATCTTTGTCAGTAATATTTCTTGAATAAATACATGCATTATATAATTTCAGATGTTTTCTCAGTTTAAATTGTCTGTGATTCTATCATCCTTGGAACTGTGGTCAGTTAAAAATAAAATATCTATCAATGATGAGGATGATAATTTATTACAAAGATTTTTGACATGGAAAAAGGACTTTCTTATTCTACAGCAACATGATGTAACATTACTGCTTATGTAAGAACAATTTTGTAAATAAATATTAAATATTAATCATTTAACTAGTATGATCACTTAATGCAAGTATTCTAGTTTCAATTTTCTCTATAACCATGTGAAGATATTTAATGTACATTTTTTGTAATAGAGGCAACTATAGAATCTGAAGTATGATGGAAACAACACCCACCCCGCATAAATTGGTTATTTAACAAAATATTTTGGGATACAATTTGTTTGAAAGACTTCTCTACTCATAAACATTTATTATCTCAACTATATAACAGAATACTTATAAATTTTATTGAATTAACAATGCAGAAATTGAGTTTAATATTATGTATTAATACATTTTGTCTTAATTTTTTATTAAGAGATATTAGGATTGTTTTTTGATACTTATTTTAAATATTTGGGGCCAGAGAGATGGTACAGTGGGTAAGGCTCTTGTTCTGCATGTGGCTAACCTGGATTTGCTCCCTGGCTTCATATGATGCCCCGTCCCCTACCAAGACTGATCCCTGAGCTCAGAGTCAAGAGTAAATCCTGAGCTGGATGTGACCGTAGAACAAAAAAGCAGATTTAGGAATGATAAAATAATTCATCCACAAAGTTAAAATATCTCAGTTTATAATAGTCAATACATTAATGAAGGATAAGTTAAAATGAGTAGAATTATGGATATCAAAGCCATATCATGTTTAGAGATATGTGAGAAATTGTTATCAAATAAATTATAGTTTTCTATGATTTTGACACTTTATATACATAAACCTTATACCTTAAGTATTGGCATCTTTACAAACTAATTCAAAATTGTATGGAGGGATGTTTAATTTAATGCATGCGCACTATTTTTATGAACAATTATGCTAATAAAAATTATTATATGGTATAGTTACAGGAATCATTCTAAATATGTTGGAGCGTCATTTCCTCACTCAATATGTAATAATAGCTATGATGCAGAAATTGCTGTGGTATGTTGTACTTGACTTTATTTATTTTTCTATCTTCTGAACTTTACACTACATTATTAGGTATTATTTTAAACAATAAGTAATAGTGATATTTTTTCAAAGTGTATATTGTTCTATAGGTTCTATTCTATTTGAAAACTCAGAAGGTTTATGTGATAAATATCAGTATTGACTAAGGTCATTGTACCATTCACAACTAGGTATAATAGTCATGAATGTTTTATCAATTTATATTTACTATTGATGACATGACATGATTTATAATTCTCATGATTTAATCATATAATTTTAATGCACCACACCCACCAACAAGGTGCCACAAATCATATATCACTCTACTTGATATCTTATTTGGCTTTTTTGGGGATGGGGGTGGTCACATCCTGCACAATCTTCAGGGGATACTTTTGGCTCTGCAGTCAGGAATCATTTCTGGTGGTGCTTGGGGGGACTATTGGGATGCCGAGGATTGATCCTGGGTTGGCCACATGCTGGGCAAGTGCCTTGCCACTGTACTACCACCCCAGTCCCTGTCACTCTACTTGAATTCCTTATCATCATCCTCTGCTCACTCCCAAATACCCCACCACACCCTTATAGCCTCCATTCTGTTGTAATAGGTTAAGGGTTTGTTTTCATTGGACAGTGTCTATTCCTTTGCTTTTTTTTTTTAACATATATGAGTGAGATCATCCTGTTTGTCTTTTTCTTATCTCATGTTGCTTAGTATCATATTCTTTTTTAAATCCATGTTATAGTAATATGTAAGACTTCAACTTTCTTATAGATGAGTATTCTATTGTGTATATTAACTATTTCCTTATATATTAATCAGTAGTTGGCACACAGGTTGTTTCCAAATAACAATTGTAAAAAGTACTGCAGTGAAGAAAGTTGAAAATACCTTTTGAAATAGTTTTTCTAGGTATCAAGAATTGGAATTAATGGACCATAGAGTAATTCTGTTTCAATTTTTCATGAGAAATTTTCTTACTATTTTCTTTATAGCCTGACCCGGTCTACAATCACACCAACTATTCATGTAGGTTTCTTAGCAGGTTAGATTTTACATTCTGACCTACTAAGTCTCTTTGCCTTTTGATCAAAAGTTTTGTTCATTGACATTGGAGAAATATTGACATGAAATAATTTGTCATTTTTGTATGAGGATTTTGGTTGTTTTTGCTTTTGAATTGTTTTCCCTATAGTCATTCATTATTTCTTTCAGAGTTGGTTTAGATGCAATGAATTATTTTTTCAGTTGTTTTTCTGGTAATGTTTTTATCAGTCCTTCAAATCTAGGTGATAATCTGGCAGGGTGGAAGATTTTATGTTGGAGATCCTTTTAGTTCAATACTTTTAGCGTACTGTTTCATCTTCTACTTGCTTGTAGACTACATTTGACATATTTCACGAGTTTTATGTTTTCCTTGTATTTGAAACTTTAATTTTTTCTGGCCATTTTAAGTTTGCCCTCTTTGATTCTTGCAATAATGTTTACAAACTCTCTTCTTGGTGCCATATATGTTTTTTTTTCACTCTTTGGTTTTCCTAGAACAGTACACAAGTTTATCAGACTGGAGAGGTCCTCAGATAATTTATTTCTTTTAAGGTATCCTTCCCCTTCCTGTCTTTACTCTCCTTCTGGAATGTCTATGATTCTAAGTGTTTCCTCTAGCTATTTTCCATAAAATATCTTTAAATTTTCTTCATTAAATCTTTTATTTTTTCTTACTTATTCTTTTATGTATATATATAAATTTATTTATTGAATCACTAGGAGAGCAGTTACAATGCTTTTGGTTTGTCTCGGTCATACAGTGATGAAACACTCGTCCCTTCACCAGTGCACATTTCCTACCATCAAAAACCCCAATGTACCCCCCATCCTCTCCTCCCCTACCGGTGTGGCAGATGGTTTCCACATTACTTTCTCTCTACTTTGATTACATTCAATATTTTGACACCAGATTCACCATTATTATCTGGGATTTTACCCCAAAACTCACATTAATTTTAATGCACCACACCCACCAACAAGGTGCCACTGGGCCGCCAGGGGGAACAGGCCAAGGCACGAAACCTATTCCCACCTGGGGTGGCCCAGCGCCTGCAACCCACTGCAGGGACTGGACACATTTCTGCCAAAAGCCTTTGGGTTCCGAGATTCCTTTCTGAGTCTCTGGGATCATGGCCATTAAGCAGTTCGATCAGGAACCAGCTAAATAAATGCCTCCAATTATTTAGCTGATGGTTTGTGGGTGTGTCTCCCACATACCTAACTTTTGGTCGTTTATTTTCTTGGTAAACTTTGCCCCAAGTTTTGGGGTCTGGCCAAAGGGACAACAGCAATTTTTGGGTAAATGGAAGTCTGAAGGCACCATCAGGCTCTGATGCACTCGTCTCACAGGTACAGAGTGACCTGCTGGTGGCACCATACCCCTTCCTTAACTTCTATAACTTTGTTTAATCTTGCTTTTTTATAAGCATGATTTGCTTTTTTCTGAATTTTTTCATCTTTTCTGAGTAGGATTCTGATATTTCAATTACCTGTATGGTAGGGGGATATAGTTTTTTTTTTCCCTTTATTTTATTTTATTTTTTTTAAAGTTGTAGATTTACAATTTTTTGTGCTTTGGTTTCAATTATACAATGATCAGATACCCATCCCTCCACCAGTGCCCATTTTCCACCACCATGGATAATATCCCTCCCACCCCCATCCCCCCATCCCCCCTGTCTCTGTGGCAGGGCAATCCCCTGTGTTCTCTCTCTCCTTTTGGGTGTTGTGGTCTGCAAAAGAGGCATTGAGTGGCAAACATGTTCAGTCCATAGTCTACTTTCGATATGCATCTCCCCTCCTGGGAGGATCCTCCAAACATCCTTTATTTGGTGCTCCCTTCTCTATCTGAACAGCCCTTTCCTCTAGGATACCCGGCTGGCCTCTAAGTTATGGAGTAATCCTCCTGGTGCTGATCTCAGCTATTCTTGGGTATTAATCTCATACTTTGTTACTTTATATCCCCCAGATGAATGCAATCTTTCTATGTCTATCCCTCTCTTTCTGACTCATTTCGCTTAGCATGATACTTTCCATATTGTACCACTTGTATGTAAATTTCATGACTTCATCTTTTCTAAGAGCTACATAGTACTCCATTGTGTAGATGTACCAAAGTTTCTTTAACCAGTCATCTGTTCTTGGGCATTCAGGTTTCTTCCAGTTTCTGGCTATTGTAAAGAGTGCTGCAATGAACAAACAAGTGCAGATGTCACTTCGACTATACATTTTTGCCTCTCTGGGATATATTCCCAGGAGTGGTATTGCTGGGTCAAATGGGAGCTCAATTTCTAATTTTTTGAGAATTGTCCATACTGTTTTCCAGAAGGGCTGAACCAGTGGACATTCCCACCAACAGTGAAGGAGTGTCCCTTTCTCGCCACATCCACGCCAGCATCGGTTGCTTTTGTTCTTTTGGATGTGGGCCAGTCTCTGAGGTGTGAGATGGTATCTCATTGTGGTTTTGATCTGCATCTCCCTGATGATTAATGATGTAGAGCATTTTCTCATGTGCTTTTTTGCCATTCGGATTTCTTCTTTGAGAAAGTTTCTGTTCATTTCATTGCCCCATTTTTGGATGGGGTTGGATGTTTTCTTCTTGTGGAGTTTAACCAGTATTTTGTATATCCTGGATATCAACCCCTTGTCAGATGTGTATTCGGTGAATATCCTTTCCCATTCTGTAGACTGTCTTTGTATTTTGGTCACTGTTTCTTTGGAGGTGCAGAAGCTTCTTAGTTTAAGATAGTCCCATTTATCTATCTCTGTTTTCACTTGCTCGGCCAGTGGCGTGGCATCTTTGAAGATACCATTAGCTTCAATGTCATGGAGGGTTTTGCCAACTTTATCTTCAATGTACCTTATGGTTTCTGGTCTGATGTTGAGGTCTTTAATCCATTTTGATCTTACTTTTGTACATGGTGTTAGGCAGAGTTCTGAGCCTATTTTTTTGCATGTAGCCGTCCAGTGATGCCAACACAATTTATTAAAGAGGCTTTCCTTACTCCACTTCACATTACTTGCACCTTTATCAAAGATTAGATGAGCATATGATTGAGGAGAGATGTCAGTGTATTCAACCCTGTTCCATTGGTCTGCAGTTCTGCCTTTGTTCCAGTACCATGCTGTTTTAATTATTACTGCTTTGTAGTACAGTTTGAAGTTCGGGAGGTTGATTCCTCCCATTTTCTTTTTCCCAAGAATTGCTTTAGCTATTCGTGGGGGCTTATTGTTCCATATAAATTTCAGGAGTGTTTGCTCCATTTCTTTGAAGAATGTCATGGGTATCCTTATAGGGATTGCATTGAATTTATACAATGCTTTCGGTAGTATTGCCATTTTGACAATGTTAAGTCTCCCGACCCATGAGCAGGGGATATCTTTCCATTTCCTCATGTCCTCTTTTATTTCCTGAAGTAGCGTTTTGTAGTTTTCTTTGTATAGGTCCTTTACTTCCTTAGTTAAGGTGATTCCTAGGTACTTGATTTTCTGGGGCACAATTGTGAATGGGATTGTTTTTTTCATGTTGCTTTCTTCTCTCTCACTGTTTACGTATAGGAAAGCCATGGACTTTTGGGTATTGATTTTATAACCTGCAACTTTACTATACGAGTCTATTGTTTCTAGGAGTTTTTTGGTGGAAGTTATTGGGTTCTCTAAGTAGAGTATCATATCATCTGCGAATAGTGAGAGCTTGATTTCTTCCTTTTGTACCTGAATGCCCTTAATATCTTTTTCCTGCCTAATCGCTATTGCAAGTACTTCCAGTACTATATTGAACAGCAGTGGAGAGAGTGGGCATCCCTGTCTCGTCCCTGATCTTAGAGGGAAGGCTCTCAGTTTTTCCCCATTGAGGATGATGCTTGCTGTAGACTTGTGGTAGATGGCTTTAATTATGTTGAGGAAGGTCCCCTCTATACCCATTTTGGCTAGGGTTTTCATCATAAAGGGGTGCTGGATCTTATCAAATGCTTTCTCTGCATATATTGATATGATCATATGCTTTTTATCTTTTCTTTTGTTGATATGGTGGATTATGTTGATTGACTTCTGAATGTTAAACCATCCTTGCATCCCTGGGATGAATCCTACTTGGTCATGGTGTATGATCTTTTTAATGAGTAGTTGGATTCTATTTGCTAGTAGTTTGTTGAGGATCTTTGCATCTGTGTTCATCAGGGATATCGGCCTGTAATTCTCTTTCTTTGTGGTATCTCTGTCTGCTTTTGGTATCAGTGTGATATTTGCTTCGTAGAAACTGTTTGGAAGTGTTTTTGATATTTCAATTTCGTGGAAAAGCTTAAAGAGCATCGGGAGTAAGTCCTCTTTAAAGATTTGGAAGAATTCACTAGTGAATCCATCCGGGCCAGGACTTTTGTGCTTGGGGAGACTTTTTATTACCATTTCAATTTCCTTGATGGTGATAGGTCTGTTCAGGTATTCCAGGTCTTCTTGGTTCAGTCTTGGGAGTCTGTAGGAGTCTAGGAATTTATCCATTTCCTCAAGGTTTTGATGTTCCGTGGCATAAAGCTTCTCAAAGTACTCCCTGAGGATCCTCTGAATTTCTGTAGTTTCTGTTGTAATGACCCCCTTTTCATTTCTGATTCGGTTTATTAGGGTTTTCTCTCTCCCTTTCTTTGTGAGTTTTGCTAGAGGCTTATCGATCTTGTTAATTTTCTCGAAGAACCAGCTCTTGGTTTCATTGATCTTTCGGATTGTTTTTTGGGTTTCCATCTCGTTAATCTCTGCTCTGAGTTTTATTATTTCCTTTCTCGTGTTCGGGTTGTGCTCCTTTTTTTGGTCCTTCTCCAAGCTCTTAAGCTGTGAGGTTAGGTTACTTATGTATGCTCGCTCCTCCTTCCTGAGGAATGCTTGTAGAGCTATAAACTTTCCTCTTAACACAGCCTTTGCTGTGTCCCATAAGTTTTGGTAACTCGTGTTCTCATTTTCATTCGTTTCTAGGAATCTTTTGATTTCCTCTTTGATTTCCTGTCTAATCCACTCGTTGTTCAATAGTGCACTGTTTAATTTCCAGGTGTTTGATTTAGTTTTCTGTTTTTGTGTGTGATTTACTTCTAATTTCAGCGCATTATGGTCTGAGAAGATTGTTGATACAATCTCTACCTTCTTAATTTTATGGAGGCATGTTTTGTGGCTCAGCATGTGGTCTATCTTGGAGAATGTTCCATGTACGCTTGAGAAGAATGTGTATTCAGCTTTTTGTGGATGAAGTGTCCTGTATATATCTACTAAGTCCCTTTCTTCCATTGTTTCCCTCAGATGATGTATGTCCTTACTAAGCTTGAGTCTGGTTGATCTATCAAGAGGTGACAAAGCAGTGTTGAAGTCTCCCACTAGTATTGTGTTGCTATTGATGTCTTTTTCCAAATCTATGAGTAGTTGTTTTAAGTACTTTGCTGGTCTCTCATTAGGTGCATATACATTTATTATTGTAAGTTCTTCCTGTTGTACAGATCCTCTGATCAATAAGAAATGGCCTTCACTGTCTCTTATGACCTTCCTCACTCTGAAATCGATGTGGTCTGATATAAGGATGGTTACCCCAGCTTTTTTATGGGAGCTGTTTGCCTGTAGGATTGTTTTCCAGCCTTTGACTCTGAGTCTGTGTTTGCTTTGACTATTGAGATGCGTTTCTTGCAGGCAGCAGAATGTTGGGTTCAATTTTCTAATCCATCCTGCCACTCTATGTCTTTTAATTGGTGCGTTTAGCCCATTGACATTGAGAGAGATTATTGTTATGGGATTTTGTCCCATTGTTATGTTAAAATTTGGTGTATTTGAGGGGCCTTTCTTGCCTTAAAGTAGCCCATTTAGTTGTTCTTGTAACCATGGTTTTGAGTCTATGAAGTTCCTGAGCTGTTGTTTGTCTGTGAAACTGTGTGTTGTTCCTTCTATTATGAATGAGAGTCTTGCTGGGAAAAGTATTTTTGGGGAGGCATTTATTTCATTGAGTTTTTTTACTATGTCCCACCACTGTTTTCGGGCCATGAGGGTTTCATCAGAAAAATCAGCTGTGAATTTTAAGGATGCTCCTTTGTAAGAGATTTCTTTCTTCGATCTTGCTGCTTTCAGAATTTTGTCTCTGTCTAAGGTTTTGGTCATTTTGATCAGAATGTGTCTTGGGGTATTTTTATTCGGATTTCTTCTAGCTGGTACCCTTCGGGCCTCCTGAATGTGGTCACAAGTTTTCTTCAGCTCTGGAAATGTTGTAGCAATGATGTCTTTGACAGTTTCTTCTTCATCGAGGTTTTCTTCCTGTCCCTCTGGGACTCCAATAATTCTTATGTTACCCCTCTTGGCTTCATCACGATCTTCTCTTGCCATCTGTTCCCGAATTGTGAGTCTCTTTTCCATTTTCTGCTCTTTTCTGGAGAGTCTCTGAACTTCATCTTCGAGCTCACTGATTCTGTTCTCAGCCGCTCTTACTCTGCTGCTGAGGCCTTCCACTGAGCTTTTCAATTCGCCTACGAGATTTTTCAGGTCTGACATTTCTGATTGCATTTTCCTCATTTCTGCCTTCAGATCCTCTTGTCTTCTATTGGCATTGGTTTCCATTGTTTCTTTTAATTCCCTAAGCATCCTAAGTAGCTCCCTTCTGAATTCCTTGTCAGAGAGGTTGTCTAACACTACAGTACTGTTGGTGTCATCTGGGCTAGACTCTTCAATATGAATGTTTGGTGGGCTTTTGCGTTGCTTTACCATTGTGAGAGGTGTGGTTTAGTCCTTCACGTTCAGTGTTACTATTCTGCTTGATATGCAGTGTGAGTTATGATAGGCTTATGAGTTATTGGCAACTGTGTTTCTAGTGGCTGAGCTAAAATAGAGAAGTTTCCATCTAAGAAGTTAGCTTATGGTTCCTATGGCATATGCAGTGGGAAAAAATTTCGCGGCCGCGTTAGCGGCCGCGGCTCCGGAAAGAGTCCCTGGCACTGGGCGAGGAGTTGGGAATATCTCCTGTTTGGAATTGGAGCCGTTCAGCTTTGGTGCCCAGAGCTGGGCCTCTGTGCCCATCCCACGCGGATCAGGGGTTGAAAACCGGCTGTCTAGGGGCTGTTTCTAGCTGCGCGTGCCCAGAGAGGAACCCAGGCCCTTGGGGGCGGGCTGTACCTCGGGATATAGTTTTTATTACTAAATATTCTATACCTTGAAAAGATTTATTACTAAGTTCGAGCTTGTGCTTTATAAGTAACTTCATCTTTATTTAAAAATTCATAATTACAAAAATGCCTATACTTTTAAAATAATTTGGAAATACTTGTGATGTCAGAGTCTTATAAAGAATGATGTCATCTATAGTCTCCAATTTTTTTTTGACTACCTAAAAATTTTTTAAAAATTTTTATTAGTGAGACACCATGAGGTACAGTTGTAGATTTATAAATTTTTGTGCTTGGGTTTCAATTATACAATGATCAAATACTTATCCCTCCACCAGTGTCCATTTACCACCACCACAGATCCCAGTTTCCCCCCCACCCCCCATCCCCCCCATCCCATCCTGCCTCTGCGGCAGGGCATTCTCTTTTGTTCTCTCTCTCCTATTGGGTGTTGTGGTTTGCAAAAGAGGCAATGGGTGACAATCATGTTTGGTCTATAGTCTACTTTCAGCATGCTTCTCCCATCCTGGGAGGATCCTCCCAACACCCTTTATTTGGTGTTCCCTTCTCTATCTGAGCTCCCTTTTCCCCTAGCATGTGTGGCTGGCCTCCAAGCCATGGAGTAAAATTCCTGGTATTAATCTCTGCCATTCTTGTGTGTTAGTCGCCTATTTTGTTACTTCATGTTCCCCAGATGAATGCAATCTTTCTATGTCTATCCATTTCTTTCTGAAATTTTGATGAAATCTCAATTTTACTAGCAATAAAATTGTAATGTGAGTTATAGAAAGTGCCTATGCAATAAATTGGAAATAAAGAATATCATCTGTTGACATATAAATGTTTATTTTTGTGATATTTCTTATTTTTTGTTTGGATTCTGACTAGTTAATCTCTCTTTTGAGGTTTCAAGTTGCCATAAAATCTCTCTCTCTATTTATATATGTATATATATCTATAAATGTATAAATGCATATATAAGTAAATGTCTTGCCATTTTACTACATTATAACTTTCTTCTATTTAAACTAGTTAAAAACTAGTTTAGCAATTTAAGTATTTGAATTAATTTCAATCTTCATCTGACTTGAGTTGATTTGATTGATCAATGTCTTTTGGCTTTCACAGATACAAGAAAGCTGTATTTGTAGTTGTTGAGTCACCAGAGTGGGGAAGAACCTTGAGTGTCCAGGAGCTTTTAGGAATGTGCTAGGAGGTTTGTTTGAATTTGTATTTGTTGTGGCAATTTACTTCTCTCTTGTGTTCTTTGAAGTGTGAGGACTATTCTATTCTCACCTTGAATTGTGGGACTCTCAATATCACGTCTTCCTAATTAATTGTTGGGTTTGATTATCTTGAGAGTGAACCAAGGAGCCTCTTTAATTGACATCTTAGTGACATCTCTATAAGCATATCACCTTTTAAACCACAAAATGTAATTATTTATTATGCTGATTGATGCTTGTGGATCTGTAGATATACTATAATTACTATATAATCATATAAGTAACAAAAATAAATTGCATGGTATGTTTAATGAATATTAATACATATATTAAGAAACAAATTTTTAATCACTGTTTCTGTTTCCTTTTTTATACATTGACTATGTCAAATATTTTTATTTTAGTATACAGATGGAATAACATTGGAGGAATTTTCAGTTATTATATCTCAACTACTTGGCTTAAAAATAGGATTAAAATATGATGACACTGATAAGTGTTTTTGTCCAAGACCTGTGTGCATAATGAATCCTGAAGCAACGTAAGACATTTATTTTTACTACTTATTTTTACAGCTAATTTCTTGAGTTATCTAAAGGATATTAAATTTTATTCTTTAAAATTTCATGTAAATTGTCTACTACTTAAATACCTGAATATTTCTTCTCTCTAACTTTGAATAAGAAATGAAAGTATTTTGGAAACATTGAGTCAATTCATATTATTTAATAGTTATCTTACTGTGGGGTTGGTAATCTTCTCCCATAAAAATCAATTATTATTCAATATATTAAAATTTTAATTCAATATATTTAATATTTATATATATATTTTAATGTATCACTTGTTGATCTTTGATTTGCTCGAGTGGGCACCAGTAGCATCTCCATTCATCCCTGTCGCGTGCTAGTGTAGCCCAGTGGCATCTGCTCGCTCCAGGAACATGAAGAGCCTCAAACTGTTTGTTCAGGGTTTTGACGAAGAAGTCTGACCATCTTGTTTAATATATATTATACAGAAATGTAATTATGTACATACATATAGTTATGTATTATTGTGTTATAAATAGAACCATCTTTTCTTCTTTGCCATGAAATTTTTTATATTTTTAGAGAAAAATATATTATGCTCATCTTTAGAAGAATGTTTATGTTCTAATTAATAAATATTTGGTTCTTATTTTTAGATTTTTGAATCATTTTTGAATAGCAGAAGTTATACTATTAATTGTAGTTTTTATACATCAGTCATGTATCAACACTGTCCCCATTATCACAACAGCTCCTTCCTTGGGTCCTAAGGACTGACTCCTTCAAGCCATACCCTTGCCCATAGAAGCTCAGTTCTATAGACAAATATCCAGTTTTGATGATATTGGTCATTTGTTGTTCTCTTACTATATTTGCCGTTCAGTTTTTTAGAAAGACTCTGATGACTCTTCTATGTTCCTCTTGAACTCATCCCGTAAGTTCCCTGTTCATTTCTTTACAGACTGCTTTCCACCTTCTGTTGTTTTCTAGCGCTTTCCTCCTCCTCATCTTGGCACTCCTTTATCCTTTGCTCAGTTTCTGTTATTCTGCTATTCCGAGTTTCTATTGACCTTTTTTAAAGACATCATCTATCATCATCTTCATTTCTGCCATTTCTGATTGTAGTAGTTTTTTCACTTTATTTTCTCATTTCTTTGAACTCATTGAACATCTTAATCATAGTGCCACTATAGACACTGTCTGAGAATTTACTGGTGTTGTTTATGTCTTCAGTGATACTGTTTTCACTCATTAAATTTGATGGGCTTCTATCTATTTTCCCCATTGATTCTCCAGTGCTTTTTCAGTGCTGGGGGTGAGTCTTTGTAGTTACTACCTGGAAGGTGCTGAGGGATTAAGCTGTAAATTGTTCTCAATATATATGAAAGCAATTTACATACACAAGCACATTTTTTTTTTTGCTTTTTTGGTCACACCCGGCAATGCACAGGGATTACTCCTGGCTCATGCACTCAGTAATTGCCCCTGGCGGTGCCCGAGGGACCATATGGGATGCTGGGAATCAAACCTGGTGAGCCATGTGCAAGGCAAACGCCCTACCCGCTGTGCTATCACTTCAGCCCTGACAAGCACATTTTTAAGTTGAAAAATGTTTATATTTTTTTACAGTAGGAGAAAACTTTAATTGAAGTGTTTTTCACTTTTAAGATCTTCATTTCTTTGTGTTTGAATGAAAAAATATTATAACCCTGTGATTTATCAAATTGTTCATAATACTGTTATTTCATTAAATGTCCAATACCAATTCCACTACCAGTGTGACTTCCCTCTGCCAATGTCTCCAGTTTCCCATCAACACCCCGGACTACCCCTTTGCAGGCAGTCAACTTCATATGGTTTAGTATAACAGAAAGGCAAATGGAATGATTAAAAAAATAGATCAATAAAGTCCACCTGTGAAAGTTGTTATAGTTCACAGTGGTGTTACTAAAGTCATTGTCTGAGAATTTGCTGACTGGTGTTAGTTAAACCTTCTATTTTATTATTTTTCCTCATTAAGCTTTGAGGGTTCCTACATATATTTCCCATCAAAATTGCTAACTCACAGTGGGTTGTTAGCACTGTGAAATTTGGAAGTGCTGCACTGCCACATATGCGGCTGCACACTCCAGGAGCTGCTGAAATGAATGATTTGGTGGTTTGGTGGTTTGATGAGGTTCAGATGTGGAGCTGAGCTGTTTCTATGCCAGAGGATATCAAGTGTGGGAAGGGGCTGTTGGTCCTCTTAGCAGGAAGAAAAACATGCTTGGAATGTATTCTTCCATGCAAAATTGAGTTGTAATAAAATAAATTTTAAAAATAAGGTAAACATTTTACATAATGTAAAAGCATAGCGGTAGGGCGTTCGCCTTACAAGCGGCCAACATGGCCGACCCGAGTTCGATTCCTCTGCCCCTCTCGGAGAGCCCGGCAAGCTACCAAGAGTATTCGATATGCCAGACACAGTAACAACAAAGTCTCCAATGGAGACGTTACTGGGCCCGCTCGAGCAAATGTAAAAGTACTATGTTAAATATTAAATGTTGAAAGTGGGGGAACACAACCTAAATACTTTTTAGTAGATTGCATTTTAGCAAACATATAGCCATATAAATTGAGGGAAGGAAATTTAATATATGAAAGAGAGGAACAATAAACAGATAAAGGGTAGTTTGCTAGTTATATGAATTATACCATACTATTTTCTGGAATCATACATTTTTAATTTTATTTAAAAATTCTGAAGATAAAGGATAAATTTAGTCATAGCTGAACACTTCATTTGTCTTATTCTATTTAATTGTGTTATCTTGTAATTCCCATTATATTTGGAACACTGTTTTTATGTACTTTATATTAGCCATATTAATTTACTTAAGGAATGTTATTTCATTTTAGGCATTTGAGTGGTAGAAAGATATTTAGCAACTGTAGCATGAATGACTATAAACATTTTATTTCAAATATTGAGCCTAAATGTTTTCAGAAGCTTTCAAAGAGTAAGCCATTGCATCAAATCCAACCAGTGTGTGGCAATGGGATTTTAGAACCTAATGAAGAATGTGACTGTGGCAGTGAAGAGGTAAGAAATAAGACTTGAAATTTATTTTGTTTCTGATAAGTTCTTATCATGCTATACATGAAATTATATATGTAATTATATCTTAATCTTATAATGAGGACTTAAAGTTAAACTGTATGAAATACTTTCTTACACTTCTAGTGAGAAGACAAGTGAGTTATATGATTTTGGCTGTACGTACTGATCCAAGTTATGCCAACAGAAAGTTCTGAACATAGATAATAAAAGAATTGCTTGTCCACAACTTAAATCCTCATGACTCCATTCTGTTTTTTTTTAAACTTCTCCTAATTTTGATGTTGCGTTTTCTGTACTTTTTGTTTAATAGATAAAATCACTGTATCATTATCATCCTGTTGTTCGTCAATTTACTTGAGCTTGTGCCAGTAACGTCTCTATTCGTCTCAGCCCTGAGATTTTATTTTTTTATTTTTTTATTTATTTTTTTTTTATTAGTGAAACACCATGAAGTACACTTATAGACTCACAAATTTTTGTGCTTGGGTTTCAGTTATACAATGATCAAGTACCCATCCCTCCACCAGTGCCCATCCTCCCCCACCACAGGTCCTAGCATCCCTCCGACCCCCCATCCTCCCCTCCCCCCGTCCCACCCTGCCGCTGTGGCAGGGCATTCCTCCCTGTTCTCTCTCTCTTCTTTTGGGTACTGTGTTTTGCCAGAGAGGCATTGAGTGGCAGTCATGTTTGGTCTATAGACCACTTTTAGCATGTCTCTCCCACCCTGGGAGGGTCTTCACAACACCCTTTATTTGGTGCTCTCTTCTCTATCTGAGCTTCCTTCTCACCTAGCACATGTGGCTGGCCTTCAAGTCATGGAGCAAAATTCCTGGTACTAATCTGAGCCCTTCCTGGGTGTTAGTCTCCCGTTTTGTTGCTTTATGTTCCCCAGATGAATGCAATCTTTCTGTGTCTGTCCCGCTCTATCTGACTCATTTCGCTTAACATGATACTTTCCATGTAGTACCACTTGTATGTAAATTTCATAACTTCATCTTTTCTAACAGCTACATAGTACTCCATTGTGTAAATGTACCAAAGCTTCTTTAACCAGTCATCTGTTCTCGGGCACTCAGGTTTTTTCCAGATTTTGGCTATTGTAAAGAGTGCTGCAATGAACAAACAATTGCAGATGTCACTTCGACTATACCTTTTTGCCTCTCTGGGATATATTCCCAGGAGTGCTATAGCTGGGTCAAATGGGAGATCGAATTCTAATTTTTTGAGAATCGTCCATACTGTTTTCCAAAAGGGTTGGACCAGCCTGCATTCCCACCAGCAGTGAAGGAGGGTCCCTTTCTCGCCACATCCGCGCCAGCACCTGTTGCTTTTGTTCTTTTGGATGTGGGTCAGTCTCTGTGGTGTGAAATGATATCTCATTGTTGTTTTGATCTGCATCTCTCTGATGATTAGTGATGTAGAGCATTTTCTCATGTGCCTTTTTGCCATTCGGATTTCTTCTTTGCGAAAGTTTCTGTTCATTTCCTCGCCCCATTTTTTGATGGGGTTGGGTGATTTCTTCTTGTGTAGTTTAACCAGTACCTTGTATATCCTTGAAATCAACCCCTTGTCGGATGTGTATTTGGTGAATATTCTTTCCCATTCTGTAGGCTGTCTTTGTATTTTGGTCACTGTTTCTTTTGAGGTGCAGAAGCTTCTTAGTTTAAGATAGTCCCATTTGTCTATCTCTGTTTTCACTTGCTCGGCCAGTGGCGTGACGTCTTTGAAGATACCACTAACTTCAATATCGTGGAGAGTTTTGCCAACTTTGTCTTCAATAAACATTATGAATTCTGGTCTGATGTTGAGGTCATAAATCCATTTCGATCTTACTTTTGTGCATGGCGTTAGGCAGAGATCTGAGCCCACTTTTTTGCATGTAGCCGTCCAGTTTTGCCAGCACAGTTTATTAAAGAGGCTTTCCCTGCTCCATTTCACTTTTCTTGCCCCCTTATCAAAGATTAGATGATTATATGTTTGGGAGGAAATGTCAGTATATTCAACTCTATTCCATTGGTCTGCAGCTCTGCTTTTGTTCCAGTACCATGCTGTTTTGATTATTACTGCTTTGTAGTAGAGCTTGAAGTTAGGTAGGTTGATTCCTCCCATTTTCTTTTTCCCAAGAATTGCTTTAGCTATTCGTGGGGGCTTATTGTTCCATATAAATTTCAGGAGTGTTTGCTCCATTTCTTTGAAGAATGTCGTGGGTATCCTTATAGGGATTGCATTGAATTTGTACAGTGCCTTGGGAAGTATTGCCATTTTGACAATGTTGATTCTCCCCATCCATGAACAGGGGATATTTTTCCATTTCCTCGTGTCCTCTTTTATTTCCCGAAGTAGCGTTTTGTAGTTTTCTTTGTACAGATCCTTTACTTCCTTAGTTAAGGCGATTCCTAGGTACTTGATTTTCTGGGGCACAATTGTGAATGGAATTGTTTTCTTCATGTCACTTTCTTCTCTTTCATTATTTGCATATAGGAAAGCCATGGATTTTTGGGTATTGATTTTATAGCCTGCCACTTTACTATACAAGCCTATTGTTTCTAGGAGTTTCTTGGTAGAGTTTTTAGGGTTCTCTAAGTATAGAATCATGTCATCTGCGAATAGTGAGAGCTTAATTTCTTCTTTCCCTATCTGGATGCCCTTAATATCTTTTTCTTGCCTGATCGCTATTGCAAGTACTTCCAGTACTATATTGAACAGCAGTGGAGAGAGTGGGCATCCTTGTCTCGTCCCTGACCTTAGGGGGAAGGCTCTCAGTTTTTCCCCATTGAGGATGATGTTTGCTGTAGGTTTGTGGTAGATGGCTTTAACTATATTGAGGAAAGTCCCCTCTATCCCCATTTTGGCAAGGGTTTTCATCATGAATGGGTGCTGGATCTTGTCAAATGCTTTTTCTGCATCTATTGATATGATCATATGATTTTTATCTTTTCTTTTGTTGATATGATGGATTATGTTGATTGATTTCCGAATGTTGAACCATCCTTGCATCCCTGGGATGAATCCTACTTGGTCATGATGTATGATCTTTTTGATGAGTTGTTGGATTCTATTGGCTAGTATTTTGTTGAGAATCTTCGCATCCGTGTTCATCAGGGATATTGGCCTGTAATTTTCTTTTCTTGTGGTGTCTTTGTTTCCTTTTGGTATTAGAGAGATATGGGCTTCATAGAAACTGTTTGGGAGAGTTTCCGTTTTTTCAATTTCCTGGAAAAGCTTGAGAAGAACTGGCAATAGGTCCTCTTTAAATGTTTGGAAAAATTCGCTAGTAAATCCATCTGGACCTGGGCTTTTGTTTTTGGGAAGACTTTTGATTACAGTTTCAATTTCCTTGATGTGAATAGGTCTATTCAGGTACTCTATATCTTCTTGCTTCAGCTTTGGGAGATGATAGGAATCCAGGAATTTATCCATTTCTTCTAGGTTCTCGTGTTTCGTGGCATACAGACTTTCAAAGTAGTCTCTGATGATCGCTTGAATTTCTTTAGTTTCTGTTGTGATATCCCCATTCTTATTTCTGATTCGATTTATTAAGGCTCTCTCTCTCTGTTTCTTTGCGAGTGTTGCTAGTGGTTTATCTATCTTATTTATTTTCTCGAAGAACCAGCTCTTGGTTTTATTGATCTTTCGGATTGTTTCTTTGTTTTCCATGTCGTTGATTTCTGCTCTAAGTTTTACGATCTCTTTCCTTCTGCCTGATTTAGGCTCTTTCTGTTGATCCTTTTCTAAGGTCTTGAGCTGTGAGGTCAAGTTGTTTATGTGCATCGTTTCTACAGTCCTAAGATATGCTTGCAGAGCTATAAATTTTCCCCTTAATACAGCTTTCACTGCATCCCATAAGTTCTGGTAGCTTGTATCTTCATTCTCATTTGTTTCCAGGTATCTTTTGATTTCGTCCTTGACTTCGTTCTTGACCCACTCATTGTTCAGCATCGAGTTGTTTAATTTCCAGGTGTTTGATTTTGTTCTCCGTGTCAGTGTGTGATTCACTTCTATCCTCAGTGCATCATGGTCTGAAAAGATGGCTGATACTATTTCTATCTTCCTGATTCTGTTGAGGTATGTTTTCTGTCCTAAGACATGGTCTATTTTGGAAAATGTTCCGTGCGCACTGGAGAAGAATGTGTATTCTTTCTTTTGGGGGTGTAAAGCCCTGTATAGGTCCATAAGCCCTTTCTCTTCTATTTCTTCTTTCAAAGCCAATAATTCCTTGCTGGGTTTTGTTCTTGTTGATCTATCCAGAGTTGATAAGGCGATGTTGAAGTCTCCAAGTACTATTGTGTTGGTAGCGATGTCCTCCTTAAAATCTGTTAGCAGTTGTTTTAGATATTTAGCTGTTCCCTCATTAGGTGTGTATACATTTAAGAGTGTGATTTCTTTCTGCTGTATGTATCCCTTGATGAAGAGAAAATAGCCTTCACTGTCCCTTCTAATCTTTTTCAATGTGAAATTAATGTTGTCGGATACTAGTATGGCCACCCCAGCTTTTTTGAAGGGGCTGTTTGCTTGCAGGATTGTTTTCCATCCTTTGACTTTGAGTCTGTGTTTGTTCTGGCTGTTGAGATGAGTTTCTTGTAGGCAGCAGAATGTTGGGTTCTGTCTCTGTATCCATTTTGCCACTCTGTGTCTCTTCAATGGTGAATTTAGACCATTGACATTGAGAGAGAGTATGGTTATGGGGTTTTGTGTCATTTTCTGTAGGGTGTGTTGTGGTTGTAGGGTTTGTCTTTTCTTATAGTAGCCCCTTTAGGCCTTGCTTTAGGTTTGGTTTTGAGTCTATGAAGTTCCTGAGCTGCCGTTTATCTATAAAATAGTGTACTGTTCCTTCGATTTTGAGGGAGAGTTTAGCTGGATAGAGTATTCTTGGGGAAGCATTCATTTCAGTGAGTTTTTTGACTATATCTTGCCACTGCCTTCGGGCTTGCAGGGTTTCCTCTGATAGGTCTGCTGTGAATCTAAGGGGTGCTCCTTTGTAT